CAGAAATTAACCACTGACTTAATGTACAATAACAAAACATCACTTCAGGCCACAAGCTTCAAATGTTGGTTAAAGGCCACAGCAACAAAATGGATTTGCCTGCTTTAGGCCACATAATGTATCCCCTTATTAGTCATTGTAGTTTTGAATGGTAGCATTATAACATATTTAACGGGATTGAAAAACACTCCTGAATGTGGGATCTAAGTGACAACAGAGACTCTTCCAGTCTGTCATACCAATAAAACTTGTTGTATCTGCTATGCAATCATGGGGAAAAAAACAAGCACAAAAACTGTTCCACTAAAGCTGTCACAGATTTTCGGCTGGACCTCTGAAGGGGTGACACCAGACAGTGGACTTCTCAATTGGTTGATCTAAGGAGCCTGACTCAACTGCCATCTCTCAGGTGGATTGTCGCAGTTGTGGGAAAATGTGGTTATGAAATGAAGGATCATGCCACTCAGGCTATATGGGGTGCTGAATGTCTGATTTTACATAAAATTGCTTTGTTTCTCCCAAAAACTCATAACATTTAACCTATTTTGGTATAAATTTAATAATTAGAGCACTCACATAAGAATGTGGTGCGTGTAGAATGCTAAATAGCTAAATGCCTCTGCACCGGCATATGTGAGGCCGGAGGCATTATGTTTTTGGGTAGTCTGTCTGTCCGTCCCATTCTCGTGAACCCAATATCTAAAGAACGCCTTGAGGGGATTTTTTCAAATTTAGCGCAGACAGCCGGTAGGGGTGGGCAATATGGTCCTAAAATAATATCACAGTATTTGAGGGTATTTTTGCAATAGCCATATTCTTGACAATATGACGTATTAATTAAAAAAAAAAATGAATTAAAGAAAATAGAATTGCATCCACAAAATTGATGTAGTTTTACATGTCAACCTAACATTTTGCCTTAAAATATTCAGTAAAAACTAAACAAAATTGATCTCTCATTTCTTTAGTTTATAAACAACAACAGGAACTCAGAGTGAGATTCAGATTCTGTATACAATATTAATAGTACAACAGAATAAAATTATCACAAATTACACATTTAAACAGTTACCAAATACAAAAAATGTACCCTGGGATCTATATATATAAACCGACAGGTGATTTCCTCCTCTTTTAGCGAAATCCTAAATAATTGAGTAGTTTGTTTTTTTTTTCTCCGAACTAGATCTTCATGCCTTGCCATTTCTCCTCCTATCATCATGCTGTAACCCGTGACAGGCTGTCATGCTACCATAAATATTGCACGTTCACATGTATGTAGTTTTTTTGTCGAGCTTCACGTATGGTTTCATTACCAAAAGTTTAATCACTTGGGGACACTGATTCCCATGTGCACGCGGCTGCTGCTGGTGGAGTCGCTGAGTGAGTTCCTCAGCGGGGAGGGTAACTTGCTGTAACTCGCAAAAAGAGTCTGAAAGGTCTGCGGCTGTTTATAAAACATTCAAGGATGCCCAGGCCTAACGACGCCACAGTTAATCCCATACTACTAAATTTCGCTTTCAGCCATGCTTGTTGTTGCCATGGGTAACAGTATGACGTCAACAAGCCCTAATATTGCTAGTATCACGATATATATTTTTTAAATGATATTAAAAATTATGCCAGTATTATCATGAACGATATGATATGGCATACCCCAACGGCCAGTTGTACTTGGGGATGAACTGTAAAATTTTGGTAGTCAGAGGTCAAGGTCACTGTAACCCTGCATCCATCTCATTATCATGAACATGATATCTCAAGAAGGCCTTGCAGGAATTTCTTCAAATTTGGCACCAGGGTTGCTGCTGTATACTGGATTCAAGGTGTACCGTGATAAAAAAGTTGACCGTTATCATACTGTCTAAATTTGCTCATTTACGATATTGAAAAAAAATGCAACTAGACAGAGAATCACCCCTTAATTTTAGTTATGTTCAAAGGTAAGACTTTTTACACACACTTATAGTATGTATAAGTATATAAAATTTAAAAAATTCAAAAAGTTAAATTAAATTAAGTTCAATTAAAATTTCCATTAACAAAGCAGTTTCGAGTTTTAATAACAGTATAGTAATAAAACATTTGTTCAACCAAAAATAACCCTTCCATTACCATTCCTTTAAGGGCCATTCTGATTTATAAAAATATAAATTCTGTGATACCATGTTACAGTGAAACCGCAATATTTTTGGAGGCAGTTATCATACCATGAAAATCTCATACTGTTGCAACCAAAGCTAAAGAATTCATAAGCTAATTATGACAGAATTTCACAGATGGGATAGTGATAGGATAAAAGTGATGACATTTTATATCCAAAAAGTCAAAGGTCAGCTTCACTGTGACATCATAATGCTCTGCAAAAGCACTTTTCTGGCCATTATTCAATGTCATATCTCAGGAACAGAAGGGAAAATATTTGGTCAGATAGGCCTACTGAATTGGTGACACTAATCTTGGGTAAAAGAAACTTTGCTGATTGTTTGTGTGATCTTCTGTGCTGTCGGTGGAAAGATGTGTGTGAAGCACCCAGGCTTTAAATATGTCACAATGTAGAATATGTATGTAACATGACATGGATGTAAACTGTAACTGCAATTTGACTGATTTGCGGAGGCGGGTGGTATTCTAGTTTGTACTGATAAATGGCTCTGTCAAAATCAGCAGGCCAGGGTGCGTAGAAAAAGCAGTTTGCTGTTTGGATATCTCTTTTAGAAAAAGTCAAAAAATTTAGATCTCTTCTGCTACCTTGGCCAGTGTTGCACATACACACACTGTCCTGAAATGCAACAACCTGGAAGGACTGTATCCTGTTATAAAATAAGTTCTTGTGCCAAGAAGCCAAATTGTTTCACTGGGTGTTTCAACTCATTTGTCTGGTGTGGAAACAATGGAAACTACTGTTGCAAATGAAAATATAGATCAATTAGCAAAAAAGAACAACAAAACAAACAAACAAACAAAAAAACATGATTCGACAATCCATTGATGATAGGCGACACTTGACAGATCATATCTATGTGAGTTTTTCATCAGGGATACCCCTAGAACTCTTGTATTCTATGTTCTGCACTAAGTCGTACACCCAATTAGGCATACAGCTTGTGGGACACAGACAAACAGAAGATTATCAAGACGCTGAGGCTTTCAGAAAGTTTACAGAATTGTTGTCTGCAAGACACACAGGGACTATACCTACAATGCTTAAATGATACATTAAGACCCACCCAACAGACAGACAATGAAGAATAAGCAATTAATTGAAAGTTAAGGAAAAGAGATGAGCTTTGAGTTTGGATCTGACAAGCAGTCAGATGACCTAACAGGCTGTAAACAAACCAGAGGCCTGTACTCGGAACAAGGATTTGGGTTTAGCTGATAGCTGGTATATTGAATAGGTGGCAGCGTAATGACATGGGTAGGATCATTTTTATGGTGTTTACTGTGCCATCATACCATTATTAGAGATTACTCACCTGACACTTAATGATATTCAGCAGTGTTTCCAGCAGGAAATGAGTCAGGGAGTAAGATGCTGACTATCAGAACACAAGACAGTTAGTGGTTTTTGTCAGTCATTTCTGCTGTAATATATTCAGTTTTTTTTCTCCTACTAGCAGCAATATCATTGTGCTCCATAGGCATCATTTAGGTATGGCGAGGTATGGCAGCTGCCATACCTTGGAATTGGGAGAAAAAAAAAGAGAGAGGTTCTGTAGTCATCTTACTTGTGTCATGGATGTATTAAAAGATGTGTCTGTGAAACAGCGCACTGTTTAAGTGATCAGATGTGATATGTTAGATAGTCTGAGGCGCACTGGCTGGTTGTTTTCATTGTATTGCACTTAAATAGGTCAATAATATGCTCATCAGTGAATACCAGTGTTATTGAATCAAATTGTTTGCCACTTTGCTCCTCCGCGAGTTATGAGTTATGTGAGTTATCTGTGTGTTGTAAAAGCATTTTGCTCTGCTGCTGTAGACAGCCTGTCTAAATGATGTCTTGAAGCCTGTCTGATTGTATGTGGGTTTTTTCCTTCGTGTCGGCATGTGAAGCTTGTATTTTCGGTCTCTGGAGACACTCCAATAAATTGTACAGTGTTGTACCAAATTGGCCTTTGTTTTACTGTGTTTCATACACCGGACCCCTTGGTTATCTTCTAGAAATGAGCTTGTAATTAATTTATTTTCTTTATTTTCTGTGAAGTTAAACACATGACTAATGATAATTAAACGTCCACTCGCTGTCCGTGGTGCTTAAATATACGCTGAAATAGGTCCGATGTTTTCACTGCTCTCACCAAGTCGTGCATTACATGCAGACATGAGGTATTATGAATGTGAGAAACAGCTTCATGTCCTTTGAAACAGTTTTCAATAGCATAGTATGTACTTCTGACAGGTCAAAGACCAAAGTGAAGTTTTATATAAGTTCATATTTTTGAAACTCCATCATCAGTAGCTCTGTGACGTCATGTCATATTGCCATTCCTTTAGCTTTTTCTGAAACGACACCCCTGTTGTGCTCTATGGCTGACAGTAGGAATGCACAGTAATATCAGCATGTCTTTGCTAGTGGCTGATATTTGGCTTTAAAATGAACTGTCAAAATCTGCCAAGAAAACACATGTTGGCAGATTTTGACAGTAAATGTTAATGAATGTAATATTCATTCTTTGTGCAAATTTGCACAAAGAATGAATATTACATTCATTAAAAAACATTCTGTTTCATGTCTCCATCTGCAGGTGGGCCATCAGGATAAGAGCATGCATGCATAATATGATGTTAATTCCACTACAGAAGAGACTTGATGATCACTCATTAGGCAGGGAAAAAAAGTAGATATATCAATATTGGTATCAGTTATCAGTCAAATGAGTTGTTACGTATCAGCATTTTGGATATCCACAAAAGACAGAAAAAGCTGGCTGATCAGTCTGTCATGCAGTGGTGTCAGCAGTCTGTTGATGGTTCTTCTCTTCTGCTCTGTACAGGGAGTCCATCCCGAACTCTCTCCACCATGTCACTATCTGTTCGCCCAGCCAGACGCCTCACATCCAGATCCATCACTAGGAGCCAGAGCTTTACTGGAGTCAACACCTACGACAAACCCTACAGGTACACACACTTTACACACTTGAGATGACACCCCGTGTGTGTGTGTGTGTGTGTGTGTGTGTGTGTGTGTGTGTGTGTGTGTGCGTGTGCATGTGTCTACAGGATAGAAATGGACTCGTGGAATTTATTGGTCTGATGTGGATTACTATTATTAACTATAACTATAACATCTTTAAATAATGACAATGTTTCTGAAAGCGTTTCTCTTTCATTTCCTTACTGATTCAGTCCATATCAAAGCACATTAATTAGCAGACGTTTACTGTCAGAATCTAAATCCTGGTTGGATATCAGTTTGTTACTCAGGACTATCTAAAATTACTGCTTTTATGCACTGTCAGTCAGTTCTTTAAACAGTGATTGTTGCCCTCACATTAAAATATCACAGCATCAAATCACTCCTAACCTCTATACACAGATATCTGCATATGTATGCTTTATTGTCATCAGATCATAGCCCATAGGTTCAGCAATTGAGTCACCCCAGCTCAGAATGTCCTTATTTTTGTGAGATGTTTTTTTTTTTTATAGGTGACACTGTTACCTATAAAAAAACATTCATGTTACATTCTTTCCTTTCATTGACATGTTGCCATGGTAAATTATTGTATCTGAGCTTCATTTTTGATGGCTTTTTTCATTCACCACACACAACCTTAACTCAGTTTGAACATACTCAGAGTTGATTGAACTGACTCTGATCAGCTGTTCTGAAACCTAAAGCCCGGGGTTCCCATACCATGTACACATGTTAAAAGTTTAAACACTTTCAAAAAGACTTCTGTAAACAAAACTGTTAAAATTGTTCTTGCTCACATCATGTGAATCCAATTTCCTGATTAGATACAAACGCAGCATTGTTTTTTAAAAAAAAATGTATTCTGTGTTGGCTGAAAAACTTAAAGTGGGATTAAAACAGGTTCCTAAATGTTTGAACTCTTCTACTGCCTCAACAGTATTGGGGATTTGGTCATATTAGAAGTATTAGATTTCACCACGGGCAAGCAAGGGAGCTACTTTTGTGCACTGTTGTTACACCACAGTGCCCTTTTTGTTAACGAAAGTAAGACTTAGGAGTTGGTTATGGTGAGTCACCACAATAACCAGTTTATCTTGTGAAATACATCAAGATTTTTTTTAACTTGGTATGTAGTGATAGTGATGGTGATGAACAGAAAAAATGATCATTATAATAACATCAAACATTTGCACAGGGGAGACAGACAGTCAGTCAGTCAGAGAATGTCTGTGCGTATGAAAATGTCAGTCTTATGTGATATGATGATGCTGTTAGTTTGATCAAGCTGATTAGGGGGTGTCAGGTGAGGATGTCTGAGGATGATGTTGACCTGATGTTGCAGGAGCCTCTCAGTGTTCAGCACTCCAGGTCTCAACAGGAAGCCCAGCAGAGCCAGCAGGATGTTCACGATGTCTACCAAGTCCAACCCTCCACCTAAGGTTCCTCAACCAGAGCGACTGGATCAGGTCTACGAGGCGCTGAAAAAAGGCCTTCAGTGAGTGCACTAATACATACTAATAGCAGCTGCAAACTTTTATTTTGAGGGATCATGTCCTTGATACTGTACTAGTGACTCCTACTCACTGACTGATACTTTTGAACTCTTTAAGTCCTGTGCACTGTACTCCTACATGCAGTATGGTTCAGGAGAAAGGACCTTTCATGGTTTGATGATAAATCTGCCTGACTTGACTTAGTGAGAGCAGTAGCCCTGTAGCCACCTCAAGGGAATTTCTTCACATTTGGCACAAATGTTCACTTTGACTTAAGGTCAAAGGTTAATATCACTGTAACCTTTCTTCTGTCTCATTCTCATGAACATGATATCTCAAGAACACCTTAAGGGAATTTCTATAAATTTGACAGACGTTCACTTGGATTGAAGAAAAAAATGATTAGAATTTTGTGGTCAAAGGTCAAGATCAGTGTGGCCCCACACAAACTTGCCGGTGTAAGCCGAAGTTTGGCTGACCGGCGGACAGTGCGCACACGTCACCAAAACCTCACAGGCAGGTTTCCAGAATATCAGGCACATTAACGATGCAATAAATACCCAAAAAAACACTATTCAATGCAACTGTCTGCAATCAGCACATAAATGTATCTCTATATCGACTGTCCCGTCACATCTGATGTCAGATCAAAGGGGATTGGCACCGTTTGGCACATTTGGCACACGTAATGGAAACCCAACCTGATTTGATTAACACAGCTGCAAACTGAGTTAACATCCCTCTCAGCCAACCACAAACAGCCACAGCATCAGATAGGGAGTATATATTCAGCATCTGTCATCTTAGAAAAGTCAAAAGAAAAGAAACAGAGTGAGACTGCGAGAGAGAAAGAGAGCACGCGCGCACACGAGAGAAATGCGACATTGATTTACAATTGTGGTGACCTCCTCCCAGGCTACCTTTGCATCATCAGCCCGTGGAGGTCTGCTTGCAGTTCCGTATATTCGGACACTGCGAGCTTGGACCTCCCAAACCAAAACATCAGTTTCCTCCTGGGAGAAGTTTGGCTGTCTGACGCTCCTGCTCTCTTCCGCCATGGTGAATTGAGTAAACTCTCATTACGGCTTCACGCGGCACATTTAAGGGTGAGGAGAGAGGCTCATTTGATTGGTGGGGTGTGTGTAAAACCCACTCCACTCCTTCTCTCCTCCCTCTTTCCGACTTGCGCAGGTAGGAGGGACGGAGGTGGGAAAGAGGAGTAGCTGCGCCAGGCGCACGGTGTGCCAAACTCGCAAAATCCGCCTGGCCACACCCAGTTGGCGAAGCGCAGGTGCGCTGCGGCCCCGCCTTGCCCGGTCTGCGAAACTAGAGCCCTAAGTGTCAACCTTGAAACTGTGCTGATTGTATAGATCTTCTGTGCTGTTGGGGGAAAATGTGTGTGAAGCATCCAGACATGGATGTAAACTGTAAGAGGAACTTGACTGGCGCACAGAGGCATACCACCACAGGTTGGTAATTCTAGTTCAGGCTTTCTGCCCACCATCTCAAACCAAACTGTCTTTCTCTCCATAACCAATAGGCTTTCACTTTACACTTACAGGAATATTTGGACGATTTGAGAAATAGTCTTATTAGCCTTCTTGCAGAGGCTTAGATGAGAGGTCTGGGACCACTCTTATCTTTGTCAAATATGAAGCTACAGCCAGCAGGCTGTCATTTTAGCTTACCAGAAAGAGTGGAAACAGTCAGGCCCTGTCCAAAGGTACAAAAATCCACTTACAGTACTAACACCTCTAAAGCTCATTGATTAACACAGTATGTCCTGTTTGTTTAATTTATTTTCTAAATGTCAGCCTATTGCTCTTTGAGATCAGCTGAAGGGTGGAAACACCCAGAACACTCAGCTCTAATTAATTTTCCTTAAGACGAGATAAATGCTGGAGAGCAGCACAGTGGGAGAGCTGGCAGTGAGAGATGCTCAGTTACTGCAGAGGACAAAGTTTGTCAAAACTTAAGCACATAGAAGCAAAAATATCTGCATGGTTACACACTACAGAGGGTATGTTTAGTCACTTACCCTTTAATCTCTCCTGTGTGTGTGTGTGTGTGTGTGTGTGTGTGTGTGTGTGTGTGTGTGTGTGTGTGTGTGTGTGTGCATGTGTCTGTGTCTGTGTCTGTGTGTGTGTCTGTGTCTGTGTTCTCTCAGGTCTTACCTGCAGGTTCATCAGATGGACTTGGACAGCCTCAGCAGACAGATGAAAGAAACAAAGAGGAACTCCAGACTGGTATGTTCTGTGGTTGTACGGTTTGGCTCGGCCTAGTTCTTTTCATCTGTTCAAGTTTAACCCTGTTACTATCTTCTTATGTCTAATGTGGATACAAGTAGTTCTATTTCTTGACTTTCTTGGTTTTTCTTTGGGCTCAGTGTGTCCTTGAACGCACCTGCACACAGAGGTTTCAAAAAGGTCCCTTTTTTTTAAGTTGAAAAATATCAAAATGTACAAGCTCAGGAATTGGCTGGTCAGTAGTGTTTCCTCTTTTGTCATACTGTTTCAGTCTGTGGTATTAAGCATTGTTGACACCTTGAAGTTAAATTTTGGTTTGAAAAATTAAAATGTTCTGACAAAGCAATGTATCTGTTAGCATAAAAAGTAAACCACTTCATTAAAAATGAGTGATACTGATGACTTAATGTTTTCTGCCTCTTCAGGGTTTCCTGTATGAACTGGACAAGGTGAGCTACTGTGAATACTTTCATACTTACTTAATCCAAATTGTCTCCATGTTTACCTGTTGTTTTGATAATTTAGTATAATGTGCATTTTCACAGCACACACATTTCACATTCTATCAGCACAACAGTCATATCATAGTTACCACTCTGCTGCTCTCACTTTGTCTTCTCTATACTAATTAGTTTCAGTCACTTTAACAGCCTTAAAAAACCCACAGGAGTAAATCCAAACACTTCCTGTACAGATCTTGCACATAAAAAACCTTCCAGCTGCTCGAAGGGCATAATTCCCACCTCTCCTGCTAGGCTTTTAATTTGAAACATATGTAGGAAGTGTTGACTGCATCTTAACAGCGATCATAAAACAGGAACTAGAATGCAGTATTTTTGCGTTGTGTTGTGTGTGCTGTGGCGATTTGTGAGATGACTCCCTACATCACAGGTGACAGGGGCCACCTCAGTGTATATCGTAGCACAAACTGTTATTTGTAGACAGACCTGGACTGACATATTGTGAAAGTAGTCCAGTTTGACTAAAAGGAATAAATGGGACTCTTTGCTTTTCTCTGACAGCAAGTGAAGGTGACTGAGAGGTACATAAGACGACTGGAGTTTCACCTCAGCAAGGTAAGAACAAACGATGCCTTTCAACATCACTAAACGTTATAGAAAAAAAAACCTGTCCAAAGCATTTTGGAAATGTCACAGGAATATGTTTGTGATTTACCTCTGTTGGACTGATTGCTCACATTTAGATTTAGATGTAGATTTTGTCCTCACATTGCCTTTTAATGTCTCCTTACATGTCATTTGTTGTGAGATTACTCTTTGTATATCTGTCATTGGTTACTTTGTGCGCAGACAGTGGTTAATGCAGAAAAATGTTATTGACACCACATCGTTCTTGGAGTAAAGAGCATTCTGCTGTAGATGCTGCTTGTTTCTGTCAAGACTTTCTGACTATAGTACAACTTAGTGGTCATATTTAGATTTAGCCAGTGTTGCTGAGGATCTTTTTGTTATACAGATAAAACCAAGTACTACTTAACAGTACTAGTTTGGCTCATCAGATACACATGGCCTCTGGACATGGTTACAGCACAAGAGGTGTAGCCTCTAGTCACATAACACTCTGGCACCAAGACAAATTTTTGTAAACCTGCCATTATATACAGGTCAATAGCACTGTGGAATTCTCTGCGTATTGATATTATATCTACTGTCAATGTCAAAATCACCTTTCAAAAGCTTCTAAAGAAATATCTTGCCAGATAACAAGATAAGCATCTAGCGCTGTTTTAATGTACTTTTGTTCTTAATTTTATATCCTTTTTATGAATGTATCTTTCTGCTGCTATGTTGAATTATGGTTTAGTCCAGAGCTCAGCAACCTTCACTATCAAAAGACCTATTTTTGGCCAAATAATCCGCCTGTAGCCGCAAAACATATTTGAGCCTTATAATGAAGGCAACAGTAAGTCCAAATTCACCCATTAACATTACTTATAGGTAGGGCTGGGCAATATGACCAAAATCTCATATCACGATATAGTTCATTTCATATCCCGATAATGATACATATCCGGATATAGCCATTATTAATTTCTATATAATTTTTTGCTGAAGCCACAGGGAGCCACTGGAGAGGGGTGAAAGAGCTTCATGTGGGTCCGGAGCCACAGGTTGCCTATTCATTTCAATTCAGTTTTATTTATAAAGCCCAATATCACAAATAACAATTTGCCTCAGAGGACTTTACAGCATACGACATCCCTCTGTCCTTTGGACCCTCACAGCAGATAAGGAAAAACTCCCCAAAAAAAACCCTTTAATGGGGAAAAAATGGTAGAAACCTCAGGAAGAGCAACTGAGGAGGGATCCCTCTTCCAGGACGGACAGACGTGCAATAGATGTCGTACAGAACAGATCAACATGATAAATTAACAGTGATCTGTATACAAAATGATACATAAAGAGAGACTGAGAGAAATGTTGGACAGACAGTAGTGACAGTAGCTTACAACAACATTAATTTAAGTAATAATATTATTATAATAATTATGGCTATTGTAGTACAATATGTTTTAGGTATATATTAATATATGATATTATATGTAAGTGACACTAATCATATGTGTATAATAATAGTAGAAGTATGACTAATGATAACATCAGCAGTAGGAGGCATCTGGCAGGACCACGGCAGCAGCACAACCACACACGTCACACCATACAGGCACCACTGCGATATGAATTAACCTGCGAGGCAGTGGAGCACAAAGGCTCCAGAGAAGAAGCTAAGTTAGCGAGATGCAGTAACAGGACAAGAGTGTTAGCAAAGGAGAGAGAGAGAGAGGGAGAGAAGGTACTCGTGTATTATGGGAGGTGTATTGTAAAAGGTCCCCCGGTAGACTAGGCCTATGTCAGCCTAACTAGGGGCTGGTCCAAGGCGAGCCTGAGCCAGCCCTAATGATAAGCTTTATCAAAAAGGAAAGTCTTAAATCTAGTCTTAAATGTGGAGATGGTGTCTGCCTCCCAGACTGAAACAGGAAGATGATTCCACAGGAGAGGAGCCTGATAGCTGAAGGCTCTGGCTCCTGATCTACTTTTGGAGACTCTAGGGACCACGAGTAACCCTGCGTTCTCAGAGCGCAGTGTTCTGGTGGGATAATAGGGCACTATGAGCTCTCTAAGATATGATGGAGCCTGATCATTTAGAGCTTTATAAGTTAGAAGTAGGATTTTAAATTCAATTCTAGATTTTACAGGGAGCCAGTGCAGAGAAGCTAAAACAGGGGAAATGTGATCTTGTTTCTTAGTTCCTGTTAGTACACATGCTGCTGCATTCTGAATTAGCTGGAGAGTTTTTAAGGACTTACTAGAGCTACCTGATAATAGAGAGTTACAGTAATGCAGCCTAGAGGTAACAAAAGCGTGGACCAATTTTTCTGCATCATTTCGGGTCAGGATAGGCCTAATTTTCGCAATATTACGCAGATGAAAAAACACAGTTTGTGAGGTTTGTTTTAAATGAGAATTAAAAGACAAATCTTGATCAAATATTACTCCGAGGTTTCTTACGGTAGTGCTAGAGGCCAAAGCAATGCCATCCAGAGAAACTATGTCATCAGACAAAGAATTTCTGAGGTGATGGGGGCCCAAGAACAATAACTTAATAACAATAACAGTTTTGTCTGAATTTAACATAAGAAAATTGGAGCTCATCCAGGTTTTTATGTCTGTAAGGCATTTTTGAAGTTTAGTTAACTGATCCGTTTCTTCTGGCTTTATTGATAAATACAACTGTGTATCATCCATATAACAATGGAAATTTACAGAGTGATTTCTAATGATGTTACCTAAGGGAAGTATATATAAAGTGAACAGAATTGGTCCGAGCACAGAACCTTTTGGAACTCCAAAACAAACTTTAGTACATAGAGATGATTCATGATGAACATGAATGAACTGAACACGATTAGGTAGATAAGATTTAAACCAGCTTAGTGCTGAACCTTTTAGGCCAATTAAGTGATCCAGTCTCTGCAGTAGAATTTGATGGTCAGTTGTGTCAAACGCCGCACTAAGATCTAATAAAACAAGTACAGAGAAGAGTCCTTTGTCTGAAGCAATCAGAAGATCATTTGTAATTTTAACTAGTGTTGTCTCAGTGCTATGATGCACTCTAAATCCTGACTGAAATCGTTGATGATTTAGATGAAGAAATCATTGTGGTCAACTGTTGAAGAGAAATCGGGGAGAAGCAATCTATATATATTAGGTCTTACAGCTGTGTTTGAGGGCAGATTGGTTCTGTTTTAGGGCAGGAGGTCATGAATTTTGCCTCTCATAGTTAGAATTTGTCATTTAAAAAGCTCATAAAATCATTACTGCTGAGGGCTAAAGGAATACAAGGCTCAATAGAGCTTTGACTCTCAGTCAGCCTGGCTACAGTGCTGAAAAGAAACCTGGGGTTGTTCTTATTTCCTTCTATTAATGCTGAGAAATAGTTTGCTCTGGCATTGCGGGGGGGCTTCTTATATGTTTTGGGACTGTCTTCCCAGACTAAACGAGATTCTTCCAGTTTGGTTAATCACCAATTCCTTTCAAATTTTTGCGATAATTGTTTTAATTTTCAGGTTTGAGAGTTATACCAAGGAGCGAACTTTCTTTGCTTTGTTAACTTCTTTTTAAGAGGAGCTACAGAGTCGAGTGTTGTTCACAGCAAGCCTGCAGTGCTATCAACAAGATGCTCAATTCGGGAGAGTTTAAAGTCAGTACGGGAAACCTCTGTTACAGAAGGACATATTATTAAATTTAACATCGATGGAATCATTTCCTTGTATTTTGCGACAGCACTGTCTGATAAACATCTAGTATTAGTAACTGTTGCTGAGTGGTGTGTAATCCAGTAGAGAGAAATCAAAAGTTATTAAATAATGATCTGATAGAGAGGGATTCTGTGAAAAGACTGCTAGGTTATCAATTTCAATTCCATACGTCAGAACTAGATCGAGGGTATGGTTAAAACAGTGAGTGGGTTCATGTACACCCTGACTGAAGCCAATGGAGTCTAATAATGAGATAAACGCGGTAGCCAGGGAGTCATTATCAACGTCGACATGAATGTTAAAATCGCCTACAATAATAACTTTATCTGATTTAAGAACTAAACTGGATAAAAACTCTGAGAATTCAGATACAAATTCAGAATACGGGCCAGGAGCACGGTACACTATACCAAATAAAAGTGGCTGCGAGGTTTTCCAGGTCGGATGTAAAAGACTAAGAACAAGGCTTTAAAAGGAATTATAATCTAGTTTAGGTTTAGGGTTTATTAATAGACTACAGTTAAAAATGGCTGCAACTCCCCTCCTCGGCCGCTGCCTCAAGGAATGTGGGTATTTTTATGACTGGGAGGAGTGTATTCATTTAGACTGACATATTCATGTTGACACAGCCAGGTTTCAGTGAGGCTGAGTAAATCAATATCATTATCTGATATTAATTCATTTACTAACACTGCTTTAGACGATAGAGACCTACCCCTGGTTTAGTCAATGATTACACTATCCTTAATTTCTTTCATTTGAATATGAGTTTGGTATTTTGATTGTTTTCATAACTTAATTCGCCTGTATTCTTAACTCATGTTTGTACTGTATTTTAATGTGTAGGACCCCAGGAGGACTAGAGGCACTGTCATGTGTTTCTAGTTGGGATCCTTGAATAAACAAGAAATCATACTGTATATGTCAGTAATAGCAGAGGTCTGACAATCACCATTTATACCACCATTTATATGCCTCCAGTCGGAGGCCTTATGTTTTCCGGATGTCCATCTGTACATCCATCCGTTCGTCCTATTCTCATGAAAACGATATGTCAGAATGTCTTGAGGGAATTTCCTCATATTTGGTGAAAAAAACATCCACTTGGACTCAACAATGAACTGATTAGTTTTTGGTGGTCATAGTCAAAGGTCACTGTGAACTTGTCTGTCTCATTCTTGTGAACATTATATCTCAAGAACATTTTGAAGAAATTTCTTCAAATGTGGCAAACATTCACTTTGACTCAAAGATAAACTAATCAGATTTTAGTGGCTAAAGGTCAAGATCACTTTGATCTCCCAAAACATGTTTTTGGCCATAACTCATGAACTCATACGCCAATTATGACAAAACTTCACACAAATGTCTAATAGGATAATTGACATTTTGTATCCAAAAGGACAAGGGTCCTTCACTGTGACATCATAATGTTTTGCAAAAACACTTTTCTGGCCATTACTTAACGCCATATTTCAGGAACAGAAGGGGAGACATTTGGTCAGATACTGAATTGGTGACACTAATCTTGGGTGTCCACCTTAATATTTTGCTGATTGTGTAGATCCTCTGGAGCAACCAGACTGAGGACTAGAAAACAGGAGAGCACAAATAGTACCTCCATCAAATATGCATACCCTCACTATTAGTAACCTCATTAAAGTTACAGGAAACTTTAGAATTGCATCTCTTCCTTATGTGAAGGAATACATGTGATGCAAAGTGCAAAGTAATTCATGTTTCTAAAAATGGTGTAGATAAATGTATGACAACCTTGGCAACAACAAGGCCCCATGGTTTAGTTTGCTATAAACAACTATTTATACCTTCAGCTATTGTATTCTACACTGGTACCAGCCAGCAAAACCATTAAGTGGCTGAGCGGTTTATTATTTATATGCTTTGTATTGCATAGTGTTGGGTGTAACAATTGAAATTTGAATGTATGCTTTGATCTGTGATTGAATTTCGTATTTATTGTGTTTTGAGTTTTGAAACAAAGTGTTTATAGAGACTGCAGATTGCTAGTAGCTGGTACAATACATCTCTTCACCTTGTGTGAAATTAATGTCTTTTGTACATTGTCCCTGACAAATAAGTGTATAAACCAAACTAACCTGTCCAGCACCAGTGTAGTACTGACATACATTTTAAGCTGTCCACCTGCCGTGAGGCTGTTCTTTGGACAAGCAGATGAAATGTGTACCCTTTTCCCAGATTGAGGAGCTATATGAAGCCTACTGCCTGCAGAGGAGACTCAGGGACGGAGCCAACAAGATGGTGAAGGCTTACACTGCCTCTCCAGGCAGTAAGGAGGCCAAGGAGAGTTTAGCAGAAGCCAATAAAGGATACAAAGAGTACACAGAGGTAAGATGAAGAAGATGGAGGAGGGGGGAGATAGAGTGACAGTGGATTAAGATAGATGAAAGAAAAATGCTGTATGTATTGTGGGAGAATAAGGCCAATCCATGCATAAGTGGTAGGAGAGTACATTAAAGAGCAGCAGATGTAACAACACAGCTGAACTGGACAACAAGTTGCTTCTTGGGGATAATAAAGATGTCCTAATCCAACTAATAGGTGTCACTAATAAAGTACAGCTCTGTATTTCCTTCCTGCTTGGTATACATGAATAAATGAAAGTCTCTCTGATCCTTTATGTAGAACATGTGTGTGTTGGAGAGTGAGTTGGAGAACCAGCTGGGGGAGTTCCACATTAAGATGAAAGGTAAGAATGAATCTTCAATGGCTAGTTCACCTGTCCGTTTTCACTCCTCGTCCCATTCTGGAGGACAGCCTAGTCAGACAAGCATGAACTGATGAAGCGTCTTGGATAAGAGGTGAAATGTCTTCTAAGACAAAACTAAGTCCAGTTGCATTCGATTCAGTTGCCTTGAGATAAGTATGACCTGGATAAATGAGAATATCCACAGGCATTGATATCATTCTGTGCGACTTCCACTTCCCAGGAACATAATATGGAAATCATCCATAAATCCTCCTAGAAATGCATAAAAATCCTCATATTTTAAGTTTTTCTTCAGTATCAAAGTAATCCAGTCATAGCTGTGAGTGCATTTATCAATACACTGCAAACAGGAATTGTTAAGAGCTCAGGCGGGAATTTTGATGGTACCAAGATATAAATAAACATAGCCTAAAAAAAAGCAGGGTTCGGAAAGGAATATCAGTACCTTCCTGTGATTGACTTTACAACAGATCATTTCATAAGCTTTTATGGGGTCTGTGCTATTCTGAAATTTTCATGTCTCCGCACTGGTGATAGCTGTGGTCGTCCATCCGTCCCATTCTTGTGAACACGATATTTCAAGAACGCCTTGAGGGAGTTTCTTCAAATTTGGCACAAACGTTCACTTGGACTCAACGATGAACTGATGAGTTTTTGGTGGTCAGTGGTCACTGTGACCATGTCTGTTTCATTCTTCTGAACGCGAGATCTCAAAAACACCATGAGGGAATTTGGTGGTCAAAGGTCAAGGCAACATGTTTTTGGCCATAACCGAAGAATTCATATACTAATTGTGACAAATATTTTATACAAATGTCTACCAGGAAAAACTGATGATTGAAGTCATGACATTTAATATGCAAAAGGTCAAAGCTCAGCTTTACTGTGACATAATAATGTTCTGCAAAAACACTTTTCTGGCCATTATGCAATGTCATAACTCAGGAACAGAAGGGGTGACATTTGGTCAGATATTGAATTGGTGAGTCTAATCTTGGGTGTCCACCCTGAAACTGTGCTGATTATCTGTGCTGTCTGGGGGCAGATGTGTGAAGAATCTATGTTTTCACAAACATGGATGCAAACTGTAAGAGAAACTTGACCTGTTCGCAGAGGCATACAATCACGAGTTAGTAATTCTAGTTTTGTCATCAAATTCATTTTCAAATAGGCCTATATGTTGGTGTCAGCTTGTTTTCATGTATCAGATTGACAAAAACATTTTTTACTGAATTTTCACACAAAAGTCTAATTTCATACTGAGCTCATAAAAAAAAAACAAAAAAAAAACAAGCGGCTTTACTGACTGAAAGAACTCCATATATACAAGAACACCACTCCAGCTGGGATGTAAATTACAGCAGGACCAGCAAGTTCACAGGAAAACAAGAGGTAACTGGGTGTAATTATTACTGGGGTTAGGGTGAAAAATTAGCCACACACATGCTCGGTATTAAAGTCACTGATCAGCACAGGTAATGTTAGAGTCAACCAAGAGAAATAAATCCAGTCCCAGTGGCCCCAGTGAGAAGCTGATAGGCTACATCTGTTTCTATTTGTCTTTCAGGTCTGGCTGGATTTGCTAGATTGTGTGCTGGTGACCAGTATGAGGTTAGTCTGTCTGTCTTGTCTCTCTCTCTAATTAGACAACAGTCTATAAATACTGATAATATTATTCAATACACTCATAACATACTAGAGGAAAGGGATTGCGAATGCACTAGGCCTATAGTAAATAGCAAAACAGACCATAGAAAAAAGTCCTAGAAAGTATACAGACACAGCTCTACTGACATTCAGGACACTGTGTGTGTGTGTGTGTGTGTGTGTGTGTGTGTGTGTGTGTGCGCATTCAGATCTTTATGAAGTACGGTCGGCAGCGGTGGAAGCTCCGAGGCAGAATAGAGATCAATGCCAGACAGCTGTGGGACAGTGAGGAGATGGTGTTTGTGCCGCTCATCAGTGAGTTCCTCTCTGTGAAGGTCAGTCCCTCCCAATGTCAAACTGTTTGACTTACTTTGGATTTATTTGAATTTATACTAAGTTCTGATTCGTCAGTGTAAGAGTTCTGATCCTGAACGCTGCTCTTAGTAATGAAATAGCCTATGTATGCTTCATGTTTTCTCTTGTTGTGGTATTGGTGAATACACCCATATTCAGGATTTTGTACTGCCGAGTCGGTTCTGTCTTTTACTTTTTTACTTCTCTGAAGCCTTAAATGAGGAACAGGTGGGGACAATAATGTTACCGCTTCTGTTGATGTACTTACACAGAGTGTAGGTCTCAACCTGAAGGTGATATGACTTGAACTGTTGAGGGCAGCAAGACTTTGGTAGTGTGATCAAACCATATTTCTGTGGTCTCCTAGGTAACAGAGCTGAAGAGCTTAGCCAATCACGTGGTTGTAGGAAGTGTTTCCTGTGAGACTAAGGACCTGTTTGCTGCACTACCCCAGACGGTTGCTGTGGATATTAATGACCTTGGGACTATTAAGCTAAGCCTCGAAGTCACCTGGAAGTAAGTTTTGCCAGCTATGCTTTACACTGAAAATTATAGTAAGCTTCATTAGAACTGCACTGTTGCACTGATATTGATTAACAAAATATATTATTTTGTCTTTTGTCTCCGTCTCCCCCTTCCTCCCTTCCTTTTATCCATCTGTCAGTCCATTTGATAAAGATGACCAGGGGTCAGTGGCAAGCACTGTCAACAAAGCTCCAACTGTCAGTAAGAGAATCTCAACAATCTTCAACCAGAGTCCACCTGACACGCCATCTTTGCGTGAACAAGCCTTCTATGTGAGTTCTCTCAGTACTCTAGTTGCCTTTGTTTTACCTTTGTTCTCTCCAGAGAAACCTTTGGCTGTTTTTGAAAAGAGTGATACTGGAATATTTAGCTTTAAGTTGCTGATTACTGGTGTTTTGTGCAATATTCACTGCCCTCATACTTGATTATTGTAAAACCAAAATTAAATGCAAGTCAAATGTGAGAGGTGCAGACAGCTGAGGACCTCCTTTTTATGCCTCTTCACTGGTGATAGTCATTTTTGTTGTACGTTCATGCCATTCTCGTAAACACAATATCTCAAGATAGCCTAGAGAGCATTTCTTTAGATTTGTTACAGATGTCCACTTGGATTTAACAATGAACTGATTAGATTTTGGTGGTCAAAGATCAAGGTCACTGTGACCTTATCTGTTTCGCTCTTATGAATGCAATATCTCAAGAATGCCTTGAGAATTTTTTTTTTTTTTTTTCTCAGATTTGACTCAAATGTCCAGTTGGACTCAAGGATGAATTATAAGATTCTGATGGTTACATCCATCTTATTTTTGTGAATGTGATATTTCCAGAACGCCTTGAGAAAATTTCTCCAAATTTGGCACAAACATACACTTGAAGTTAAGGATGAGCAGACTAGTATTTGGTGGTCAACAGTCAGTGTCACTGTGACCTTGCCTTCATCTCATTCTTGTGAACAAACATCCACTTGGACTCAAAATAAACTGATTAGAATTTGGTCAAATGTCAAGGTCATAAAATACATGTTTTTGGCCAAAATTCAGGAATTCATACAGTAATTATGACAAAATGTCACACAAATGTCTAATAGGATAAAATAATGAAGTGATGACATTTTATATCCAAATGGGCAAAGGTCATAATGTTCTGCAAAAACACTCCTCTTGCCATGAATCAACGGCATATCTCAGGAACAGAAGGGGAGCATTTGGTCAGATACAGAATTGGTGACCCTACTCTTGGGTGTCCACCTTGAAACTTTGCTGATTGTATAGATCTTCACTGTTGCCAGGTTGAAGATGTGTGTGAAGCATCCAAGTTTTCACAGACATGGATGTAAACTGTTACTGCAACTTGACAAGCTTGCAGGGGCATACAACTGCAAAGCAGTAATTCTAGTTTTTACACAGACTCTATTGCATTTAGTTTGTCTGTGGCCCTTTAGGAGAGTTTTGTAGATTTTACTAAAAATTGATTCATGTGAAAATAAGAAGCAAGACCTTTCTCATCAAAGAATCTTTCAGCTTCATTACATGTCTGAAACTGGCCGTATACTTGCAAAGAACAAGACAGAGTTGAGACCTTGTGGTTTAGAACCACTGCTGTAGACCAAGTATTTGAGTTTAGCCAACATCCCCAGCTCCCTAACTGCTCCACTGTTTCTCCACTGCCCTTTGTTCCACTTGCTGCTGCTCTGACATGCAGTCTCTGCCTCGGAGTCTGACCAGGCGGCAGCACTGGCCGCTGCTGGAAATCTTCAGAGACACACTTAGCCAGAGCTGTTCCTGTAGTGAAAACTCACCAACACGACAGCCCACTGCAGTAAGTCATTGTGGAGTAGCACCCCCACTGGTATACTGACTAGTGACAGTAATGATGGTATAGAATATTAGAAATCTAGAACAGTAGTCTCCATTGTTATGTTTATGGATTCACGCAGCTATGAGGTATATATGCAGGGTTTCCAAACAGCTCTCCAGCTGATTTCACTGATTGTCAGTTCCCATTTGAAAGCAAGAACTGGAAATCTGCTGCTGTAGTGTTTGGTCAAACTACAGATCTGCATACATATCACTCTCCAAAGGCCTATAGGGCAAATAGGGCCTCCTGACAGAACCTAGACAATACTTTCAGCCATACCCTGGTGGTAATTGCTGATGATGTGAAAGCACAGCTTTTCTGTGTGTAGGAAATTCTTACTGACTAAACTACTACTACTGACTCACGTGCTTTAGACAATCTGGATAAACTCGTGGTTTATTTACAACCTGTCTGATTATCTGACTGCTTCGTGTTGCCCCATTGAACTTCCTTGTAGTGATGTTGCCATGTTCTCAGATTGTTTTGAAGTTTTTTGGTGAGTACAAAGTTTTTATAAGTAATACAAATAACGGTCAAAACAGGAATTACACCTTAGTCCTTGAACATCTAATAAAGTAATTCTGAGTGCAAACGCCTTTGAAGCTGTGAATTATGTAAATTTGATGGAAAAGTACCTTTTAAAGCTAGGGCTCTCAAGCCACGTATCATCTGATCATGTCTAAAGGCCCAGACACACCAAACCGACATCAGAGAACTAGCTGTAATGAAAGCTAACTGTTGCATCACCTCACGTCACCTGTGTCTCAGCCAAGAAGTTTCATGTGAACACACCACAAAGACTACAGCCTACAACTACAGTGGTAGTCTGTATTTGTCATTCAAAAAGAGAAACTGGAAAACTGTCTTGATGCTAGTTAAGCAGTTAGCACATTAACAACACAATCCAATGTTGAAAGAACAGAGCATATATAGCAGTGAACAATAACACAAACCATCAGGAAACATTTCTGCTAAAGAGCTTGAAGGCTAAAGAAAAAATTCTCTTACTTTTTATCACAAGTTTGTTTTGGTCTCACTCCCTCTTGACTGTAGCTCTTTGTTTTACTTTCCTCACTTCCATTTCACTTCCATTTCAAACTCGACCTTCTTTCACACCAATGTCAGCTCAGTCAAGCACTGCAAAAAGTGGATGTGATTGTGTTTCAAATGGTGTTAGACAGTTCGACAAACACTTAGTTTGAAGCACACTGAGATTTTGCATAATAATGCTATGATAAGTATGATGACTGATGACAAGTACACACCATGTTGATAATGTTGTAATGTTTGGTTTAGGTCACAAAAGTTCCTCCAAAACCTTCAGGATTTAATGGCAATATGTAGAAGCTTTAAACACTGTTTTCAACTTTAGTTAGCATTTTGATGCTACTATGTATATTTGGAAGTGTGTCTACTATGCTTTGTTTACCTCAAAGATCATTGTTGACATATCAGTTTCCAGTCGCTTGTTGTTTTGCAGTATGCTCAGTTTGCAACAAATGTGGCCGCTGAAGTAGAAAAGAAGAGAACAAAGCAGAGTTGAACACTGCTTGTTCTATTAATTAATGACTGTTGATAATGATTTGAGTTTGCCAGATTGTTTAATCTGAATCCTCAAAAGCTGTGGCTGTGATCCAGTTGAACCCAATCAATAGCGGATTGCTGCTGACAGCGTGTGACATGTGACTGCACAGTAAAGTGGAAGAGCCCAGAGTCATACACAGTGAAAATAATCAAGAGGGGCAAAGTGTATGAACCAGCCAGCTGGATTGTTTTGTGACTCACTGAATCTGTAGTGTGGTGTCGGCCAGTGTTTGCCTGCTAGTTGGCAGTCTGTTGAACCTCATGGCCTGCAGAATGAAAGTGAGGCCTACAGTTTTCTTGTTTTTCAAGTCGTCTCCAGGGGCTTCATTACAGAAGAATATAATAAATGCTTGTCCCATCTAAACTTCAGTTTCAAAGATTTTAAAGGAAAAATGATTTCTTCCTATTACAGAAGCAATTCCTAAACTATGTCCAATAACCTAACTATAACCAAGGGGGTTAAAGGGTACAGATAACCTCAGCCCAAGGCCAAGGCGGGGCCCATGAAAAGGTCTGTGGTTGACTTTTATATTGAATCAAGTACAACAATTTGGATGACTTTGGAAATTGTTTTCTCCCTGCCCATATTTCCTAAAGGCTGTCTTAAATTTGATTCTTCGACTGGCAATCTTAATTTCTTGGCTGTATCTACGTACAGAATGTACACAGTCTCCTTGTATCTTTGATTAGAATGGACAGATAGGCTACTCAAGATGGACGATCCATAATATCAAAGGCTAGCTCGGGTGACCTCTGTGAGGTTGTGTGAAATGCAAGGCTGTGACGTTTTAGACAGCCTCAGTCTGGAAGTCACCCTTAGCCTTAAAAAATGCATTTATGATCTATATGACCAGTGGCTGAGCACAGAGCCACCTTGCAGGCCTCTGCAGATCCAGACTGGGCACGTCGATAAAATTCAGAATGAATTGTCTGACTGTTGATATATATACCTATTAATACATGGTCTGGGAACTTTAAAGCGTCATCATACAAATTTAGCCTTTTAGGTGTTCATGTTGTTCCCCATCTTCTTTGTCATTGGCATACAGACATAACACAGGGCAGCTGCCAGTTTTGGCAATTATTTTGAATTTAGGACAGGGTCTATGCCATTCTCATGGATTCCTAACTTGGGAAATCCCCAGGTAAGGTTGGCTCTGTTAGTTAAATTCCTATCCTAAGATAAGATTTTTTTTCCCAGCAGTTAGGAAACATTTTGATTACAATATCAGACTTTGGAAGTTTCTGTAATGAGGCCCCTGGATTTTTAATGATGGAAAGCATAATGGAAATATGGGTTTAAACATATCTCCCATACAGTCCATACTCAATGTGTGTGTGCGTGTGTGCGTGTGTGCGTGCGTGCGTGCGTGCGTGCGGGCATAGGCAGTTGCGACCAAGTCCGACTTCAGCACACCGTGAGGACAGAAACAGAGGGATCGGCAGGGACACAGCACCTGCCGCAGCAAGCAAACATGCTGTCTGCTGTCATTTTGACTTGACCAGTGGACTTCACTACAAGCTGATTGGCTGTAGAAACAGTGAGTGACACCTGAGTTACAGGTGATACCATCAGCTGGTTTGAGTCAAGCTCAGACCAGCCAGTTCACACAGCTGCAACTTTTCTCTGCAATGTTCTAGAACGGTTTTGTCCTGTTGTGAATCATTGGTGAGAGCTGGGCTTTAAACTTTACTCTATGCAACCAGGTAAGGTATGCAACTGCCCCTGGGCCTTGCTGTGTGTCAGCTGAGTTGTGATAAATGATTATGTGACACTATGACCAGACATGAAAGATCCATAAAGGAATAGTTTACTTTTTGGGAAATAAGCGTGTTCAAGCTGTCAATCTCATGCATCTGTGTTAGGCACAGAGCTCTACTTAATCAAACGTCTCTTTTCAAATCCAACTCTTCATCAGTCCAGTCTTTTAAACAGTGCTGTTCTCTCACAGAACATGCTCCGCCGTCATGAAGAGCTGGAGAATGGAGCAGCGTGGTCTAATTCATCTGAATCTTCTGATGACTCGTCCAGTCCTCGGCTTTCTGTAGGAGGGCAACGCAACTCTTCACCTCATAAGGTAAAACACCATAGACACTATACTTTATTTATAATCTGCAGTCTTGTGCCATTGTGATGGTAAAATGATGATGCTATCTAGCTCTGTTTATCACTGTATTATTGTTATCTTTGTATTGGTGTGTAAGCTGTTTTTCCAGCTGAGATCTGTGAATGCCTTAAATGTCTCTGCATGCTGTTCACTCATGGTGATCCATGTAGTCATCCATGATGGCTGGTTGAACCAAACTACAGCTTGTAATTTATGTATATATGTATAGTATCATCCTTTCACAGAAATGAGATTTCGTCAAGCTCTGTCCTCTTCCTGTGTATACGTGCAAACAGTCATGGTTCACAATTAGGGGACTTTTGCTTTGTAGGCCTCTCTCCTCTCAGGCTGCTTGTGGCCAATGGCAGACTGTGACCCAGCCCTTACCCGTCTGTCCTAAACCAGATTAGCCATTGAAATGATGGCAGTTGTTGGCATGTTACACAGGCATTAGGATGGAATTAATTGTTGAACCTAGGTAACACTGGTATAATGATTTGTTTTAGGTCTAGGGGATTTATTTACCACTAAGACTTATTGCTGTACCAGCTGTTAGTAGCTGGCACAGCCATGAGTCTTTGTGGTCATAAATAAAAGAAATGGCAATCAACATGAAAAGGATGTTGGCCTTGGGTGAGCTTAATTAACTTCCCCCAGCCTTACTTGCAGTGTAACTCACTGACTGCGTGGCTGGGCCAGCTCACTCAGGTCCTTTCGGCCCTTTTCTTGCTTTGACAGCCATGCATGGAGTTCAGTGTTGGTTTTAGTACATTCAATGAACAGACACCGACAGAAATGCTTCAGGGATGAGGGTTATCTTTTAGTGCCCACTGTGGTTTCATCAAGAAGATTTTTTGCGTTGTCTGCTACATGCCGGTCTCAGGCATACTATCACAGGCATGCTGCTATCACCTCACTCTGGCATCTGCCATCTGTCAGGCTCATATTAGGTAAGACTTACCCTCATGAGATTGGCAACCAATCAAAACGACAACTTGTGATGGTAATCACAATTACTTATTTTACAGACAGGTTGTAGAACTCAAAAAGTATGGTTATCCATTATTCGTTTTCATCTTTACAGTATTAATAGTTACAGATTTTTTTTCATGGTATCAGATTTTCACTACACAATTATTATTATGGCCATAAGAGTTCACAATAACAATATTGTCACAATATCTGTAGAAATTTTGAAAAAAAAAAAAAAAAATTAATTAATTAATATTTAAGTTTGTCTATTTTGGGTTTTGTCTCTTTTTGGCAAATGAATTACACTCAGAATACGAGTGTAAGGAGGTGGAGAGAGAGACTGTAACTGTAACTGTACAAAATGTTACAAAGAGAAGTTACACTTATTGGATAATGAAAAGGCAACCAGATGGTTTTGGGAAAGAAATTGTATTTTCAAATAAAAAGACCAAAACCAACTATGTGAGCCCATTGGTTCCTACCAAAAAATTAAATTTGTAAAAACGGCTCATGAACATGTAGTTTTATTTTGAAGGAAGGCTCTGTCATTTCCTAAGACATTTGGACACAAGCATTAACCTTTGTTACCTCCTAGAGATTTTCCCTCTTGCTGAAGAGATAACCTTTTCTGGAATAAGAATTGACCCTTTATTGTCTAAACTCAACTGAAGGTTAAATTATAACAAGCATCAGAGAGGATTTGCACAGGTGAGCGACGGGTCTGTGTCCTGGTTGAGGTGGATAAGCATATTCAAGATAAAGATAATCCCCAGGTGGCTGAAACCCTAAATTCACTTCTGAATAGCTGTTTGCCAATGAAATGTTCATACGAATTATCTGGCAGGACAAAAATAAGACTGAAAATAGGTCAGTTGACTGAAGGAAAGAGGCTCAAATATAAGGATATACTATTAAGCAGCACAACTACAATATGTATGCATGTGTGAGTGGTTGAATCCAACCACAGGGATTGACGTGGTACATAGGAACTGTGATTTATGGTGAATGAATTAATTTGGGGAGACATAACAGGCTCTTTTGGGGAAGAGAATATATTGATTACAAGTACATTTCATCCAGACCTTATTACATGCATGAGACCTTCTGTTTAAGTGCACATATCACTCCCATACTGAAGTCTCTGCACTTGTTGCCTGTAAGTTATGGAATTGATTTCAAGGTGCTTCTCATCATTTTCACATCACTTTGCTCACAGCTTTGCTCCACATTTAAATCAGTGACTTCATGATAGTTTACATTCCAAACAGATCACTGTGTTCTTCTAACACTCTCACATTAGTAGTTCCTCAGTCTAAAGAGTCTGAGGCTATGGTGATGCTTAGGGCTGTAGTCTCCTGGTCGACTAGTCGATTATTTGGTCGCTATGCTTTCATCCAAACAAATTCTCATTGGTCGAATAATCGCCGTGTTACTTTCATAAGGAGAAAAGTGCTACATCAACAGCTTTCCAGCATTAATCCATTATTTCCTGCGGCGGGGGGAAAGGCTAAGTTACCTGTGAAAATAGGGGTGTTTTCAAAACACCCCTGTTGTTGACAGAAAGTTGAACTCACCCAACCTAACGCTCAGCGTTGCGGTGACACAGACCTCCTGTGTGTTTCTGTATACTGACACCATTTCCCTCAGTGGAAACGAAGCTTGTATTTACTTGTATTTCACAGATAAGAAACAATAAATTGTGAAGACAGTAAAACCTCCACTAAAATAGCATTTTAAGTTGTGTGTGTGACTTATCCTGGCTTCATATGAGCAGAGGAAATATCCGCTTGTCGCTAGGCTAATTTATACAATGTAAAAGGCCATAGGCTGGCGCTAATAAAGTTAGCATGTTGTATTTGCTTGGAAAACGTGTTTAGTATAAGATAGTTGTTTTGTCGGTAAATGTTGTGAGTTGTAGTGAAGCCAGATTATGTGCCATTACCTTTGTTACATATTGCCGTTGTCCCTGGTTTTATATGAGAAGAGGAAAAGATCGCTAGACGCTAGGCTAGTTTATACAATGTAAAATGCCATAGACTTGTGCTAATAACGTTAGCATGTTGTATTGTGGGGGAAATGTGTCCAGATAAAGACAAGTGTTTGTCTGTCAGTTCTGCGATTTATAGTGAAGCCAATTTGCTTACTTGTGTTTGAAACTGTTAAACCATATTTGTGTGTTTTGAATCAACTATATAAATAAAGTTTGATTTGAACTAAACTTTACAGCACTTAACACAGTCCTTCACTGCCAACTAGTGTTTTGGAGGTGTAACTGCAGAGTGACACAGACACACCACCACAGAAGTAAAAATAACATGCAGGGTTTTTTTTCCCCCACGACTAATCGATTAGTTGAAGATTATGTGCGACTTTAGTCGACCAAGATTTTCTTTGGTTGACTACAGCCCTAGTGACACTGCATTTAGTCAAAATGCACACTCCAAATCTGGAGCAGCCTCTCCTTAGAGTTAAAATATGCACCTCACTTAGAATTCTTAAAAGAAAACTTAAAATTCATCTTTTCAAAGTTCAGCTGTGTTGTTTTTCCCTCTGCACCGGTGACAGCTGTGGCCAAAGGATGGAATTTCCTCAACTTTGGCACAAACGTCCACTTTGACTCAAGTATTTCAGTGGTCAAAGTTACTTACCCTCATGAGATTGGCAATGAGCTTACACGCATCTCATTCTTGTGAGTGCAATATCTCAAAAAGGCCTCGAGGGCATTTCAGTTACCCAGTAAGATCTACCTAAATCTTGCCACCATAAGCTTCCTTAAGCTACTGGTCATATCTAAACAAGTAAGACTGTAACAAAAAAACATCAGAGAGGTTTTATTTTTATGCCACTGCACAGTCATAGGTCAAAGGTCAAGGTCACTGTGTCGTTTTCTGTCTCATTCTTGTACATGTGATATCTCGCGAGTACCTTGAGGGAATTACTTCATATTTGGCACAAACCTAGACTTTACAAACATGGATTAGTCTAAACGGTGATACGGTGATGTGAAAAATGTGTGTGTGTGTGTGTGTGTGTGTATATATATACATATATATATATATATATATATATATATATAGCTAAAAGCTCTGCTGGTTTTCTACCCGGAAGTATTTGTAAACAACAAGGTGATTCCCTCTATAGTCCGGCCGGACGGATGAGTCATGGCCTTGTAAAAGATTATGTTTGTTTCTTTTAGTTGGCGAGAATGTGTCGCCGCAAACGCGACAAACATTCACTAACTTCGACTGCGTTTTCTGCGAGCACGGCTGAGCCATTTTGTACCGCTACACGTGTTTCTAGTGGGACTATGGACCGCCCTGCAGATTTGCTATTGGTTTTGCAACGTAGGGAGTTTTTTTAAACTCTGAAATTGTATCCGCCCATCTAAACACAAAATCAGGGAGAAAGTCATCAGTCTTTAGTTAAGCAAAGCGTCTAAAGACTGACTTGAGTCTACTGTGACCTTGCATCCGTTTAATTCACATAAACGCAATATCTTAAGAAGGTCTTGAGGGAGTTTCCTCAAATTTGGCACGAATGTCCACTTGACCTCAAGAATTGACTAATAAGAACTAATAAGGTGGCCGAAGGTCAAAGGTCAAGGTCACTGTGACCATACAAACGTGTTTTTGGACATGACTCAAGAATTTATGCGTTAATTATGACAAACTGGCAGAAATGTCTAATAGGATAAAATGATGAAGTGATGACAATTTATATCCAAAAGGTCAAAAGTCAACTTCACTGTGACATCATAATCTTTTCTGGTCATTATTCAACACAATAATGCAGGAATAGAAGAGGACACATCTGATCAGCTACTGAATTGGTAACACTAATCTTGAGACTGCTGATTGTAAAGATCTTCTGTGCTTCCAGGTTGAACATGTGTTTGAAGCATCCATGTTTTAGAATTTGTATTCTGACATTTAGCCTACATTAAGTCCCAATGTCTCTGTCAAAAGTACTGACTAGTGTGGACAGCAGTAGAGGCAGTACAGGGTTTGATCTGGTTAAGTTGTTCAGCCAGCCTCTGTGGCATTCAGCCCCAGGAGAGCATGAAAGCAGAATAAGCAGAAACAGGGTGTTTGTCACACTTTAACTAATAACTGAAGTTACTGACTATGTTGTTATTGTGTTGGTTCTCCCTGTGACTCAATTTGTCCATGTCTTTCTCGGTCACCCACCAGGCAGTGGTGGTGACACCAGACATCCAGCCAGCTGGTAGTGGAAGTTCTTCCCCTCAGCCTGACATCTCATTTTGCCCCAGAGACTCCTTCTCCTCAACTCCAAACTCCAGCCACAAAGTCAGTGCTGTCAGTGACACGTCCAGACAGCAAGCAGAGAGCAACAGGTACTGTTAGAGTTGTTTTTTTATGCTTTTTTTGGTAGAAGTCATTTTACTTCTGCTCTACAGCCTCATAGAGTATCATTTTTCTAAATCCTTTTTGTTGACTGACTTACATTTGCCCATAAGCACAGGTGATGTGTTTACATTGCTTGGTATATGGGTGATTCTTCAATTATGGGAGGGTAGATTTTCAAGAAAAAAAAATGTTTTAGAAAAAACAGTGATTGTCTTTGTTAGGGCTAGGTTGTAGTAGCTCTGAAAAAAAATAATTGTGTCTCAATGATGACATTTTAATACTTTTTCAGTGTGTTGAAAATTCAAATGTGCCAGAGTTTCACTGTTTTGGGCTTGTACCCAACCCAGACTTTTTGACATCCCCTCTAAAATAAAGTAATAAAAAGTGTTAAATTCATTAAAACTTTACTTTGCATTTCATCATAACAACTTAAAAAGACATTTTTCAAATTCATTTAGTTTATATTATGTTCAATTTTTTAACAGTTAAATATCGCTGTCCCTCATACATCTGTCATTACCATCACACTCAACATTTTAGAGAGCAATAAAGTTTTTACAAACAGTTACTTACATTGTTGCATGCAAATTAAATGCTCCAGAGGAACATTCCCAGACATGAGGCAGAAGCCTGATTTTCTGATGCCCACATATGTAAGTAATTTGAAGTTTTGCACATCCTGATCTGAGAGTATGTTTATTAGGCGTCATTACCAAACAAGTTACTATATGAGTATTTTAATTCAGTAATAGGGAATTTCACTTTATTTACATATATTCAGTGTACATTGTATGCTAGCTAACCAGCTAGCTTTGCAAGTCTAAGACCTAGCTAACTTTTGGCTCCAGAAATTGAAAATTGTCATTACCATCACACAAGTGATTGTGATGGTAATGAAAATCAGTGATGGTAATGACAACTCATCAGTCTATTATCTTATAACTAGAATATATCAGCATAATTTACCATTGAACATGGTTGATACATAATTACAACAGTGACCAACTGTAATTTAGATAATTTTTTGTTTGAAGTTGTCAACATGGCCCCAGCTAAACCAGCTCAATGGTCAAAAAAATACAGAGACAAAATCAAGGAAGATCCTGAAAAATACCAGCAGTATCTTGAAAGAGAAAAAGAGAGATACAGGAAACACTACATATGTCTCAGAAATGCTGAGGAAAACCTAGGGCTGAAATGCATTTGTTTTCATCTGTTGCTGTGCATTAATAAAAGTGCTACACACTTATTTGTGAGTGCTAATGACCTTATTTTCTATTTTTGTCAATTTTGGATTGTCACCCATCATACTCTGAGGACATTTGAGTTGAGCATGCCAATTCTTTTTTTATCGCTATGCTTTTTTATTGTTTGAACCTTTTTTATGTCACAAATAAGCCAGCTGGCCAGAAGAAGATAGTTACATAAGAAATGCTGTGGTTGTTTACCAAGTGATTTATTGTAAAGGAGGGTTAAGTTTTAAAATGTGTTGTTTTTAAAAGGTAGTATTTTCTTTATCTTTTGTTTGTCATAAAAAAAAAAACAAAAACGAAACACACCAGTGTTAATGTTTATGTCATCACCAAAACATGTTGTCATTACCAGAACACATTGTCATTACCATCACAATACATTTTCTGATAGAAAATGTTGTTTTTTGTTATCTTGGGTCTTACCTAAATCATTATGGTAATGTTAAAAAGTCTAAATTTGCATTTTCTAAAAACATATACATTGCAATTCAAATGTTTTGATTAGTACACAATATTTGATTGTTGAGACAAGGCAATGTATTAAAAAGTTAAGAGAGAACATGTTGTTAAAATGTATATTAAATGCACTTACAAATATTTAGAACATGCTTCTTAAAGAGCATGTGTTGTATTTACTGAAATGATTGTGAAAAACTTTGCTGTCATATCCTTTTGTATTAAAATCAGTGTTTTGTTTTTGTGATGGTAATGACATTTTGCTGTGACAATTTTGAAAAAAAAAGCATCATAATATCAAAATTATCATGAAGTATGATCAAAGCTATGTTAAGATCATTGTTCCAGACTAATTAATAAACCTTTTGAAATAGAAAAAAATAAATATAAAAATAAAATAAATAATTTAAAGAATATTATTTCAAAATTTCAAAAATTTCAAAATTATTTCAAAAGTGCCCTGAACTGAAGAATCACCCATATATTGTGCTCTATTAAAAATAAAATGAACCAATATATGCTTTACAGGGAAGAAGAGAAGGGGACAGTTACTGTGGTGACCAAACCTGACAGTGAGGAAGAGGATGCAGGGAAACAGTCTTCCATACCAGCAGTGGATGGGGTGTTGACCAACAGCCACACCTCGCGCAGCTACTCGCGCTCTCTGAGCCACATTAGTGAAAGTAGTGCTGATGGCATTGTGTTGACTGATAGGTCAGCCGAATCAGGAGACGTGATGTCTTTGGCGTCCGGGCTCTCCATCAATGACATTGAAATGGAGATGCCCAGCAGAACTCCTGAGCCACCTGTCTCTGCTGCCACAGATATTGACCTCTCAACAAGGCTCTGTGTCGTTAAAGAAAACATAGCAGCTGATGATGTCACAGATCAACATCAACACAGGAAGCAACAAGACACATCCAGCTCTGTCCTAACATCCTCCTCTCCAAGAACTGAAGGAGTGGACCTTAATACTCTGTCACAAATGAACACACACTCACAGCCAGAGTGCAGCACACTCCCAGAGAGTGGGGATGTGTTGTATATAGCCCGGCGGGTGTCAGTGGAGGAGGAGATGCCGGCTGCAGGAGCAGAGTGTTTCTCCAAAGAGGGCGGTGGTCCAGTGGACAGTGGGCTGGAAGATGCTCTGACAGCTGTGGTTTCCTCTCTGGATGATTACAGAGGACAGTTCCCTGAGTTACAACTGCTGGAACAAGAGCTGAAGCTGCTGCAGGTTACACTGAAGGTGAGGATGGAGCATGTGTGACACAGGTTGCTTCTAGAGGTGGGTGGAGTTGTCAAAAAAGGTACCCAGGTAAAAATACTGTTACCTTAAAAAACAAGTTCTCAAGTAGAAGTAAGTCTAAAGTGGTGGTCAAAATGGCATGACTAGTATATATAGGCACACTGCTGTCTTTTTCCCCATTTTGTTTATTATATGTAGATATGAATGATTTCATTTCAACCCTAGATGGTTCCTCGACTAAAGGCTAAAGGCTAGTTCACATTACGTAATTTTCACCCCGATTTTGCGTCGTGGAGACTATCGTAATCTTTTGAGTGCTCATTCCTGGCAACGTGTGTTTCTCTCATCGGGAGTCTCGCCAACTGCGTTACGACCTGTGTGTGCACACCACAAGATTTCTCCACCAAGCCCTCGCCGACAGAGCCCCAGATTACGCTGTGACGTCACCAAACATCATTTTTTAACTTGGAGACGACACATCGTTAAGGCACGGATATTCTTCCCAGTGTTGAATCAGATCTGCCTCCAGGGCCTGGGTCCAAACACAACGCGCTCCCCATGATCCTGTGGACGCCGCCATCGTTGTTGTTGCTTGCTGGCTTGGCTTGTCCTCCTCACATTTCTTCCGTCCTCCTGCGTGCTGATTTGGGACATATCCCACCTCTCATTGGCTGATGCTCTTTGTCAGTCATGTCAGACCTCTCCAGTTTTCTAGCATGTCACATATCCAGTCCCAGTCACAGACGAGGGGGCAACTTGCTGGTAGGCTTGTTCACACATAAGGACTCGTCGTGGCAGACTAGCTGCTGACTCACCTCCGACCCAAGGTGGCTCTCAAGATCCTCTGCGACATCAAAATCTCAGTGAAAATCGTGTAATGTGAACTAGCCTTAAGAAGTGATTCATGTTCAATATGATTTGTCACATCTTCATCTCCTGATTAGATAATCTGCAACATATACACCAGGACAATTTTCCCATCCTGTATCTCTTAAGTATGATCACAAAATCCCATATGAATAGTGCATCAAAGGAGTAGTTCACCTGCAAAATGACCATTTGTATATCAGTTACTCTCCGTTTGTTACAGTTAATTTGTGAAGAAACAGTTTTTCTCGTATGCGTCCACATTGAAGGGAGAATCCAAATAAGGCGAACATTCTCATGAATTAAGGTAAACAGGGGCCACATTTAACAACAGCAAATCTATATTAAAACATCCATTAACAAACTCTCACACAATAACAATAATAATAATGCATTTTATTTATAGGTGCCTTTCAAAGCACTCAAGGACACCTTACAAAATACAGGTAAACAAAAACAAGCAGCAATATATCCATAGATCATTAAGTCAAACAATTCAGTAATTTATAATAATAAGTTAATAAAATAACCAGACAAAATCATAATTATAAATATTAGGTATAAAGTCACCATCATAAAGTCATCATCAGTGCAGGTCTCGATATGTGTGTCACCATAAAATCAGATCGAATATGCCGGTTTGAAAAATTGCATTTTCAGATTTTATTTGGAAGTGGACAGGGAGTCAGTATTGCCAATGTCATGGGGGAGAGAGTTTCAAAGGTACGGGGCAGCAGGCTTTACAACCCATGGTAGTCAGCGGGCAGAGGGTGCTGTGAGTTTGATTGCAGAAGAGGATCTAAGAGTATGGGAAGGTGTGTAGATATGAAGGAATTCAGACAGGTACGCAGGGGCTTGATTATAAAAGGTCTTAAAGGCGAGAAGCAGAATCTTCTTATCAGTGTGATATTTAACAGGAAGCCAGTGAAGTTTGTGGAGAACAGGAGTGATATGATCTATGGAGGGGGTTTTAATAATGATGTAGGCAACTGAATTCTGGACCAATTGGAGTATATGAAGACACTTGAGAGGGGGACCATAGAGGACAGAATTGTAATTATCAATATGAGATGTAACCAAAGAGAGCATGCAGACCGAGTAATATTATTGATGTGGGCCTCAAAGGACAATGTACTGTGCAGGATGACACAGAGACTCTTAACCTGAGGGGAGGGACAGACTTTGGAGTTGTAAGTGGTCAGAGAGAAAGTATGCAGTTTAGCCAAAGTAGATTTAGTACCTACGAGGAAAACCTCAGTTTTATCACTGTTACGTTTAAGGAAGTTGTTTGAAAGCGAAGAGTTAATATCCAATAAGCAGTCAGAAAGGAAATTGAGTGGAATAGTGGAAGTAAGCTCGGTGGATACATAGAGCTGAGTGTCATTTGCACATCCACGTGTGCAGGGTGCATCACTTAAATGTTTTATTTTGTAACATATTAGCCAAAATGCAGTTGTAGGAACTACTGAGCATCTGACTGGATAAATAAGACTTGGATTATACTGTATGAGTTGTATGAGACTTTGTAAACGTATGTTTTGATATAGATTTGCTGTTAAACACATTCCCCACTTACCTCAGTTCATGAAGAATGTCGACTGTTTTGGATTCTCCCTTCACCATAGAGGCATGTAGGAAAAACTATATTTTCAAAACTATGAATTCAGGGTATCACACGGTGAGTACTCGATGTAGGTCAGCTGTGGTCCACCACATCCAATCACATGGAGACAATAACATTACACAAAAAGCCAAATCACTTGAATCTTTTTTTTTCTGTGCAAATCAACAGAAACAAAAAATTCAATATGGCACTACACAAAGCAGCCCTTTAAAGAATAGAATAGAAAGAACTTTATTAATCCCTGAAGGGAAATTCATCTGTCCAGCAGCTCATAGTAAAATAGACTTAAAATAAAATACATTAGAATAAATTAAGCACATAAATAGACATTAAATTAAAATAAAATTGTCCAAGTATGATGTAAATAAAAATAGCCAAACCTGTGTGTGAGCATGAATGGAAACGTGTGCTTAGTTTTTGTTGCTGTGGTGATACAGCAGCGATACATACAAGTTTTTCTGTGACAGCTGTTGAAGCACACGTGACCTTGAGCAGCTTGCTGTAATGCTAACTGGTCCCTCTCTCTCACTCTGTCTGCTGTGCCAGTTCACACAGAGTTTTGGGGTTGTTGTATGGATCTGTGTGTTGATAAAATCTGTCAGTGTTCAGCACAAACAGACCTTTTATTTGTTTTCCTGTTGGGCTGGACGTGGTGTAGCTGCGCTGTAGTGTTTTCAGATCGGACTAGTGGGGCTCTTCACAGTCTAATTTAAAGTTTATGGTGAGATTCTTCCTACCTCTACTGTGTGTGCCACGCCTGTGTTCTGGTATAGCAGCCTACTGCATGAGGTCATTGATTTTATTGACATCGAACTGAAAGGCCCATACTGTCCTGGTGTCTGAACTTCTGCAGGAAATAGATATAGAGGAAATGAGTCATGTCATACATGGCTTTTAAAAAACACAAGATCAATCAATTCATAAGTAAGGCTAGTTTAAATGTGATACATGCAAGTGGGTTATTAAGTCATAATTATAGCCTGATTAATATTATCATCTGGTATAGCTTATCACAAATATATCGGTATCAGTAAAATAAACTGCAGTACTGACATGTTAAAGCTATGTTTGAGTTTATTTAGAAACAGTTTCTCCACCCAAGTGAGACGAGGGGAATGACAAGTTGAATTTTGCGCTGTAAAATATCTAGCTCATGGCATACTGGTATCTTGGTCACAGTTCTTTAAAAAAAAACTGATTTAAGGTGGAACCAGATTTGTATGGAAGCCCTAAAAGGCAAGGTGCAAAAAAATGCAGGTAGTGTTGGCTTAAAATTTATCTCCTGTGTTCAGATATTATCTCCTACAGTGCATACCAGATATTATCTCCTATATAGCAGATAAACTGAGGTTCTTGCAGACATTGCCCGCAGACCTTTTTGTTTTCACTTTGCCTTTCAGAGCTTCCATAGGGTTGCATAGTCTGACTCTGTTTTCCTGCTGTGTGAGTGTGTGTTAGTCTGTGGATGCTCAGTATCTGCATACGCATCTGTACTCTTTGTGGGCATCTGAAGACATATATGACCATTGGTCTGTAGTCTGACTATTGATCTATCTGTGTGTGTGTGTGTGTGTGTGTGTGTGTGTGTGTGTATGTGTGTGTGTGTAGGGCGGTAGGCACAGCCGTTCACCCAGTGTGGTCAGCCTCACAGTGGAAACAGCTCTAGGCAGCTTCGACTTCCTCAACACATCTGACTGGGAGGAGGAAGAGGAGGAGAAGGCTGACAAGAGGAGTAGAAATGGCAGGTCAGTGCTGATACATGTACTGCACTGTACCAAATTCTACATACTTCACACTGTTCATAAGATGTGTAGTTCATCAAAACCACTGCGCACTCTTTATCACTTAGTAAATGTTAACATAATTGTCACAATATATTACTTATACTTGAATGAATGACGTAATACATGTTCCTATATCACTTAGCTCCTGCTGTTTAAGAATCTCAGTTTTTAAAGTATCTTGCTGCCATCTAGTGGATCTGTGTTATACCATCACTATAAAGCAGACAAACTGCTCTGCTGATTTAACTGGTATTTAACCCTTTGGGCCCTAGGAGTTTTTGGGGGTATTTTTACTACCTTTACTTTTAAGTTCATACCATAGTCATTATAAAGGCTACATACACAGAGAGAAAATCAGTAGAGAAGAACAGGTGTGAATTTGGACGCACTTTGTGTCGTTCGGGCGCATAGGGTTAAGAGCATGTGAGTAAAGCCTCCTATTCTTTCATAACTTCCTCAAAGTAACATAATAACACTGAAATATGGCTACATTAGGATTTTTTTTTTTGGCTTGACGTCACAAACTGTTTGCCACTTCTTTTTGTTGTTTACAGTAACATATCACAGTTAGTATCAGCAGGTTTGAATGGTAACTGGAGATTCACTTATCCTGTTGTTTTTCTCCCTGTGGAGTTTCTAATACCTAAAGCTTAACGCACAGATCTGATCCCATCGCTCTCTGTGTCTTTATACTTCACTGTGTGAAACTGATTGGGATCATTGTGTGTAATAACAAAGCTGGAACTACACATCTTCATCATTTCTTTCATACTGAATTATTCATACACCATGAGAAGGTTTATAAAGTTGAGGGTAATAACTAGAGATTCTAATCCAGCAAGTATCAACGCTGTAAAGGCCCAGACACACCAAAACAAGGCTGGAGAACTAGCAGCGAAGAGAGCCCCCTGCTGTGTCGCCTCTCAATGCCGCATCTCAGCCAGAAAGTTGCACACATCAAACTGATGGCAAACAACCATATACATTCTGCGCCTGCATGAGAGGACATACCCCTCCATACCAGCAGACGGTGGTTGTCTGTAATCGTCATTCAAAAAGAGAAACCAGAAGATGCTAGTCAGCCGGTTAGCACATTAACAGCACAATCCAGTGTTGAAAGAGCAAAGTATATTTACTGTGTGCTAGTGAACAATGACACAAACCATCAAGAAACATTTCTGCTAAAGAGCTCTTCACTTCAGCTCTTTGTTTACTGTCATCATTTCTGTTTCTCTTCTTGTGCACTGAGCTAAACTGCCAATTAGAGTGATTTCATTCACCGACAGGCTCCACTGTGCCGATGCCTATTCACATGCTGAATCGACACTAAAAAAGGTCAACCAGCACTGACGAGGGCAGTAGATGCTCACCAGTGGCCCAACTTTGACCGACAACTGACCATCGGCTTTGTGTGTCAGGGCCTTAATACTCCTAAAAGCGTTCTCTGTACACTGTCATAAAAAGTAGTCTTGATAGTCTTGATTAAAACCCGACCTGAGGACTGCCCTAGAGGAAAGGTAAAGGGGAACATGAATGTCTGAATGTAATTTCATGGCAATCAATCCAATAGTTGTTGAGATACTGTATTTCACTCAACCTGTGAACCTCCTCATGGCCCATTGAAAAGTCTTCTGGGAACCATGAATATCTATATTATATTTTCATTTCATTTAAATCCATCCAATGGTATTTCCCCAAAGGAAAGGAAACTTCAAAATAAGATCTTCTAAACATAACTGAGCTCGATATAACATCAATATGACATTTTGACCATTTTCTCATTTCATTTCATTTCATTTAACCTTTATTTCAACAGGGAGGTCCATTGAGAGCGAGCTCTCTTTTTCAAAGACGCCCTGCATGCAATACATACTTGTTAAATTCAGCTCCAGAGAAATATCCTTCCTCTCGTGTCATCCAGATTCTGATTTAAGATCCCAAAATGCTCTTTTTCCTCTCTCACTGCAGTAATCTTTATGTGTCGGACACAATCAGCTGTTGAGATAACACTAAGATCCAAAAGAAATCTTGATTGGCTTATTAATGAGGCTGCACAATTTCAAAAAGTTGTCAAAGTGATGCTCTGTATATTTTATCTGTTATCAAGGTTGAGAAGCCTCTGAAAAACAAATCAGAATGTAATAATCTCCAAATAAGAAGCTGATTTATTTCTGATGGGACAAACAAAAGACTGTTGTGTGAGCAGCAAACGTTTTCCTCCATGTCACCATAAAGCAAAGTGGTGGAAAGACAGACTGACCACCAGACAGACTGACACATCGACATTGCTATCCCTAGAGCCATATCACTAGCATGGCTAAAAACAATGAATTAAGGTTTTGGTAGACAGTATAGGTTAGGGATAAACTAACCCTGCATAGCATTCCACACTGTCAGACATATTTTAAAGAAGATTTTACCAAGAAAAGTCATGAGTAAAGGCAAGATCAATATTTACTTGGTATTTACTTATGTTATGTAAGAGCTGAAACTACTGCTCAGAGGACAGAGCTGCAGACTACTCATAGCCAGCTGTCATACTCACAAACAGTCCTTCTTTGTGTGTACAATACTGTTAATCTTTTTGTACTTTTATCAAATAATTTGTACCAACACTGTAACACTATTGCTTATTGATAATGTGTTCTATAGTGCCTGTTATTCCATCTGCCTGTATGCCAAGAGCCTAATTTCCTTCTGAGGGACAAGGGCTGCAGTGGTATCTCAGTTTTACGGTACACCATGAAATTAAAATTAACCTTATTTTAGTCATTTTCAAAAGGGAGAGATTTTACATAAATTTCCATTTAAAATGATTTCAAGTTTCAGTTACAGTAATAAAACATTTGTTCAACCAAAAATAACCCCACTGGTTTCATTCCTTCAAGGGTTATTTTTACTTAACATAATAATTCTGTAATATCGTGATACCGTGAAACCACAATATTTTCTGTTATCATACCATGAAAATGTCATACCACTGCAACCTTATGAGGTGACCTGTATTGAGCCATCAGGCGCTCAATCCAGTTGACCCCTGACACTAACAGTTTTAATGGAAGCCTACCATAAGACTCTGGATGTCATTAAAAATTCCTCCTGTATGTTTGTAGGTCTCTGCAGGACAGAGGCTGGGACAGCCCCTCCTCCCCCCCTTGCCCCCTCACCACAGGCTGCTCCACCTTAGACCACACCCTGGTGGTCCACTTGAAGAACTGCAGCACACAGCTGTTGGTAGGTGACCTGCCACACTATACTCAAGTCACTTTCCACACTCAGATAGAGGTCTCTAGCATCTGTGATGTTGTTACCTTGAATTCCAGCTGTCAAGGTTTCAGCTCAGCAGATAATGCTTTTTCTGTGTTAGACATAAGCAGCACCATTTAGATGAATGGAGGACAAAAGTCATTTTATTTATCATCTACACAATACAACAGTTTGAAGATCTGTTCTGAAGATGATTGCTGAATGATCTGTTGCACTGGTTGTTATGGCTTTGTTTATAAGTATTATATACATGTATATATATATATGTATGTGTGTGTGTGTATATATACAGTACAGGCCAAAAGTTTGGACACACCTTCTCATTCAATGCGTTTTCTTTATTTTCATGACTATTTACATTGTAGATTCTCACTGAAGGCATCAAAACTATGAATGAACACATGTGGACTTATGTACTTAACAAAAAAAGGTGAAATAACTGAAAACATGTTTTATATTCTAGTTTCTTCAAAATAGCCATCCTTTGCTCTGATTACTGCTTTGCGCACTCTTGGCATTCTCTCGATGAGCTTCAAGAGGTAGTCACCTGAAATGGTTTTCCAACAGTCTTGAAGGAGTTCCCAGAGGTGTTTAGCACTTGTTGGCCCCTTTGCCTTCACTCTGCGGTCCAGCTCACCCCAAACCATCTGGATTGGGTTCAGGTCCGGTGACTGTGGAGGCCAGGTCATCTGCCGCAGCACTCCATCACTCTCCTTCTTGGTCAAATAGCCCTTACACAGCCTGGAGGTGTGTTTGGGGTCATTGTCCTGTTGAAAAATAAATGATGGTCCAACTAAACGCAAACCGGATGGGATGGCATGTCGCTGCAGGATGCTGTGGTAGCCATGCTGGTTCAGTGTGCCTTCAATTTTGAATAAATCCCCAACAGTGTCACCAGCAAAACACCCCCACACCATCACACCTCCTCCTCCATGCTTCACAGTGGGAACCAGGCATGTGGAATCCATCCGTTCACCTTTTCTGCGTCTCACAAAGACACGACGGTTGGAACCAAAGATCTCAAATTTGGACTCATCAGACCAAAGCACAGATTTCCACTGGTCTAATGTCCATTCCTTGTGTTTCTTGGCCCAAACAAATCTCTTCTGCTTGTTGCCTCTCCTTAGCAGTGGTTTCCTAGCAGCTATTTGACCATGAAGGCCTGATTCGCGCAGTCTCCTCTTAACAGTTGTTCTAGAGATGGGCCTGCTGCTAGAACTCTGTGTGGCATTCATCTGGTCTCTGATCTGAGCTGCTGTTAACTTGCGATTTCTGAGGCTGGTGACTCGGATGAACTTATCCTCAGAAGCAGAGGTGACTCTTGGTCTTCCTTTCCTGGGTCGGTCCTCATGTGTGCCAGTTTGGTTGTAGCGCTTGATGGTTTTTGCGACTCCACTTGGGGACACATTTAAAGTTTTTGCAATTTTCCGGACTGACTGACCTTCATTTCTTAAAGTAATGATGGCCACTGGTTTTTCTTTAGTTAGCTGATTGGTTCTTGCCATAATATGAATTTTAACAGTTGTCCAATAGGGCTGTCGGCTGTGTATTAACCTGACTTCTGCACAACACAACTGATGGTCCCAACCCCATTGATAAAGCAAGAAATTCCACTAATTAACCCTGATAAGGCACACCTGTGAAGTGGAAACCATTTCAGGTGACTACCTCTTGAAGCTCATGGAGAGAATGCCAAGAGTGTGCAAAGCAGTAATCAGAGCAAAGGGTGGCTATTTTGAAGAAACTAGAATATAAAACATGTTTTCAGTTATTTCACCTTTTTTTGTTAAGTACATAACTCCACATGTGTTCATTCATAGTTTTGATGCCTTCAGTGAGAATCTACAATGTAAATAGTCATGAAAATAAAGAAAACACATTGAATGAGAAGGTGTGTCCAAACTTTTGGCCTGTACTGTATATATATATATATGTGTGTGTATATATATATGTATGTGTATATATCTATCTATCTATCTATCTATATATATCTATATATATAGATATATATAGATATAGATATTGTATAATATACAAGTACATAGTGACTCAGATTATCTGGCTTGATCATTTGAGGCATTGATTACGGGGGTTGGCATTACTTTTTCAAAAGACAGTTACATTTATTTATGACCTGTGGAAATCAATAAATCACTGTGATAAACTCTTTAATAAGTAGCGTTAGCAGTTTAGGTTGCTACAGTGTTCGTGATAGTTAAGTAGTTCTAGTTTCACCACTGCAGTCATTGAAAAGTTGTAACTTTGAATACGAGAAGCAGTAGCAGCTGTAGCAGTTTTATCAGTCATAATTATAGCAATTGGTATAACAATGAATGTTGTTGTACCAAAGGTCAATGTTCTGTGAAAAAACACTATCAGATAAGATTGGTCCGTTCTTTGACAAACACACCATACAATCACAAAATGTGCATCATATCCATCTTATTAGAGGTTTACTACAGAGGACCAAATGAGAGTTTTAATTTGAGAGGTTTACTGTTGTGTCAAGCTGTTGTGTATGTTGATATATATGGCATTATGTCTTCAGTGTCTGGGTATGTTTGGTCCGCTACGGTGTGGAGAGATGTACGCCTTGGACAGACTGCTGAGAGAGGCTCGAGTCCTTGAAGTCATCCGACGCATCGCTAAGGACAACCCAAGACGTCCAAGACAGCCTGCTGAAGGTCAGCCGTAGTATCTATATATCTGTCTGAGCCCTTATTCTCTTTGTATGAAAATTACATACAGAAATGATCATTAAACCGACAACATTATTATCTAAAGTATTAACCCTGTTTATCACTGCTTAGCATGTAAGATCCAATATTGTAGCAGATGAAAACACATTAAACTACAAGGCTGTGCACACAGCTGCAAGGAGAGAGAAACAAAGCCAGAGAGCACTCAGAACATACATCCACCACCATGCCTACCATAATCCTCTAAATGTGTATTATAATAATAATTCACTTTTTTCTAAGTGTATTTACTGTGCATTTTCAGAACACCCATAGTGATTGATAGTCTTAGATTTTAGATACCTGAATTCTCACAAGAGACAGGTTTTATAAAGGGATGTATTGTACATAATTATAAGTGACCCAAACTCTTGACCACTAAGTTACAGCTATTTAAATGTACCATGTTGCTGTTGCACACCTTATAGTCAAGCACTTGTCATCTAAATTTGGTCACAACTGTGCAATCCAAGTGAACATCTTTCCATTTAAAATACATTTAAATAATGCCCATGGTCACCATAAAAGGACATTTAGAAAAGGTTCAAAAGTGAAAGTTTTTTTACCGACTATTTGAAGACGTTGATTGAACGTTCACATTTAGACCACATTTCACCAGGATTAACAATAGTGAGATTTTTTTCATCCTTTACAGTGTGCAAATAATACCCCATCATCATTTTGGAGCCTAACTAAGAAATCACATCCAGATTTCTCAGGTGAAAGTCAGTATTGCAAATCCCAGGGAAATATGGTCTAAATGTAACAGTTCAATCAACGTCTTCAAATAGTCAGTGAAAAACCTTTTCTGAACGTCTTTTCACCATCATTGTTTATATGCCTTTATAACCTCAAAATGCTCACCGTAATATTTTACTGTAAAAGTGGTTCTGCTTTAGGATGACAACAATAGCCCACCAGCAGCACTCAAGTTACATACTTAGTCACACTAACACCATTACAGCAACAACTTAAAAGGACAAAGAAGACCATGTGACACATGCTACAATACATTTGTATTTATTATGCAACAATTTAAATATAACATAAAAAATGTCCCTCTGGTTGGAGGAAGAAGTTTGATATGGCGGAAACCTGTAAATAAAAGTAGTAGTATTAAAAAGAAATATATTTTCACTGAGATAAGGGTGAAGGTCTATTGAGAGTTTGATATTTGAGTGTAACTATAATTTCTGTAATTGCAATATGAAATGCTTGACTAAGGATAAACATATTATATTACATTTTCTATATTGTTTGTATGATGCTGTATGCCAAACCTCTTGGCCCTCTTTTTTCCACATTACTTTGCTGTTACATTATTCACTCCCTCCCCAATCCAATATATGCAGCCCCCCGTCACTTTGTTTCATATTTTTGAGGTGAAACTGCTTAAAAATTCAATTTTACAAGCTACAGCAGCAGTCCATTAAGCCAGACACATTATCAAGCCAACATTACTCACACACACACACACACACACACACACACACACACACACACACACGTGCTGTGAAAATAGTCTGGCAGCATGTTTATGTAGATGTTGGTCCACACTGCAGCATGCTACAAGCCAGCATGCAAAAACAAGCAGCCTAGACTGCTTCGTGAGTGACACAGAATATGTGTTCAAGAATCTTATCAATTTATATGTTAAATACATCATCCACAAGCATTACAGGAATACAGTACGAAATAACCAATATGTATGTGTCAGTGACAGAAGAATGAGAATAAATAAAGTCATGCAAATATATTTCTCACCATATCTGGTTAAATTTGGATTACATTTAAATTAGGGTTTTGCACAATATTCAGGTGGAAAGAATGAGTGTGGCCTCTGTGGAGAGATAGAGTCCGTGTTGGAAACCTGAAAGAAAAAAATAAAGCTTCTATGCCTGAAGGTTTCAGTTTGCTTAAACCAAAGCACAGGTCTGTTGGTCAAACAGCTTTTGAAACCTCCTCCCCTGATGTAAGTAATAGTGTTTCTGTCTGTCAAGTCTCAGTCTGCAAAATGTGGCTCATGTTTCTTTGTGTATGGAACTGTGTTGAAAAAGTTCTGATTGGTTCAGCAAAAGCTGAAGAAACTGGCTATGGAACCTTGAGTTGAGATTATTCCTTATTTCCATGCTCAAAAGTAGAGAAAAGACTTGAGGCCCAATTTAAATAATTCAAAACATTGTTTAAACTGCATGGTGCATAATCTGGGCACAAAGTAAGGCATAAGGCTGCTCCTCGTGCATCATTTCATTCATCTCAATGCGCTAGAATCAGGAACACTGTAAAACAAGCCATATGATCTAGCATACACTTGAAATGATCTGCACATGCATGTCTAATTTAAAAACCTCTTGTAATTTGTTCCATTTATTTGGTGCGAAAAAACTACAAGCAAATTTATTGAGCTCAGTACTGATCTGAGGATTTTCAGGGGACAGTTGCACACAGCATCTCTCTATAAATGTTAAGTCAGACAGCAGCTGCTCTGCTCTGATCTCTGCTATGTTCACATTTTACAGAATGTCATTAATATTTTTCTCATAAATGATCACCAACCTGCAACCCATCCATGTGTCCCTGTGTGTGTAACAAGCAGAGTGTACACATGTTGTGAACCTGTTGTGTAGGTGTATCTTACTATTTGAGTAATGTGCCCTTTAAATAGCAGGAAAATACTGCGCCATTCTGACTCTAGCCCAGGTTTTGTTGGTCAGTGGTGCAGTCACTTTCTGCTGCCTCCAAATAACAATACAGCAACGATCCATCTGACCACACATCAGTTTAAGACCTATGCTCTCATGGGTGCACACTGCACAGATGGCTGAAAAGCACATTTGCTGCTTTCACAACGTGGGCACTGGCTGTGAAAGTGACAACTGCGTCAGTCAGAAACTAACAATGACAGTTGCGCTGCAGTAGTCGTAAGATGATAGGACCCTTAAACTTCAATGAGCTTGATCCAAAACTAAAACTCAAACTACACTAACTCTCTCTTCCCTCCCTCTCTCTTTACTCTGTCCTGATTTTCTCTATCACAGTGATACCACAGCTGGGCCTGTGCCGGGGAGCTGTGTCACTCTGGCAGCAGTGTGCGGGGCAGGGCAGTGTGTACAGCGTCTCTGCTGAGAACTTGCTGGTTACATTGTCTACACTCTACTCCAGAATGCTGCCTGAGAGGGCCAGCAACATGGCCAACACAGGTACAACAATGTCTCCATGTGTACAGCTCATATTAGCGTGTGTGCTGTGTTAACACCCATATGTGTGTTTGTCCAGTGTTCTTGTGTCTGGTTGAGCGAGTGCTGGATCAGAGGTTACCACGGCGGGGCAGTAACAGAGAGGGAGTGATGGTGACGCTGTTCCAGCTGTGGAGTTACTTGGATGCCAACGGCATCAGTAATATAGAAACACACATTGCTGAGCTGGCAGAAGAAGGTATTACATACACAAACACACACAAAATCTTGTACTTTTATCTTTGTGAGGACCCTCATTGACATAATGCATTCCCTAGTCCCTTACCCTGACCTTTAGTGTATTTATACCTCTCTGGCTATATGCCATCTCAAGAAGGCCTTGAGGGAATTTCTTTAAATTTGGCACAATTGTCCACTTGGTTCATGGTCAAAGGTTACAACATGTTTTCGGCCATAGTTCAAGAATTCATGCACTAATTATGACAAAATTTTCACACAAATTTCGATATACGATAACATGAGGACTTGATAACATTTTATATCCAAAACGTCAAAGGTCAACCTCACTGTGACATCAGAATGTTCTGTGAAAACATTTTTCTGGCCACTTCTCAACATCATAACTTAAGAACAGAAGAGGAGACGTTTGGTCAGATGTGGAATTGGTGACACTAATCTTGGGTGTCCAAGATCCAAGTGTTGAACCTGCCAATTGTATAGATATTCTGTGCTGCCGGGGGGAAGATGTGTGTGAAATATCCATGTTTTCACAGACATGGATGTAAACTGTAACAGCAACCTGACCGGTCCGCAGAGGCATACAACCGCGATTTGGTCAAAAATGGCTCTTTTAACAGAAAAGGCTGCTGACGTTTGCCTTTGTCCCTTACCCTGATCTGAAACCTTATTGTAACCTGAACCTTGAAACCAAGTCGTAACCCTCTAACAGGCATTTGAAAAAATAAAAACTGGCCAGAATGTCCTCCCTTCCTAAACATGTCCTCACTTTGTTGGTTAAAAATGTGTTTTGTTCTTCACATAGCAAGTACAAGTATAAACACACACAAATATAAATGAATGCAGAAAGCACCTCTGATGCGCTAACCTCCGTCCATCAGTGTGGTTGGTGCAGAGTCTGGCATCATGTGACCAGGATGTGATAGTGCAGACTCTGCGGCGTCCTGCAGAGTGCAGCCTGAGGAGAGAGGGTCTTCACGCTGTGGCCAAATTACTGAAAGACCCACGAGGCAAAGTGTCAGCCTCTGCCAGCTCTGTGCTGAGGAGCCTGGCTGCCCAGCCCAGACAGAGAGAGCAGGTGAGAGGACACTGGACACAGTGTGTGTATGTGTGAACAGTGTGTTTCAAACACTCCTAGTTTCACCAAAGTCTTGCTAAGAATATACCATATTTTAATGTATTTTCTTTTACAAAATTGTCTTCTTAATGACATTCACTCTGACCTCTGTCTATTCTGAGATACTGAGAATGTTACTCCAATTTTAAGGTTTAATATTAAAACTCTATTTATCAGTATCAGTCTTATAACTTTGATTGTATTGTTAATCTTTTTTATGATGATGTATCTCTCTTTAGTACGTTGGTAATAAGATTGATAATGGTGACACCTTTTCTAAATTTCTGAACACATACATATTTTTGCCGTGTCTTTACTGATGGTATTATCAGCCTGCATATACAGCGATACTGATATTCTGTAATAAAATAAAAAAGATAAATTAAGTAGAATAGAGAGAGATTGGGCTGTAATCATAAAGCCTCAGTAAGGCAGAGATATTACATGAACAGCATTGTTAAAAGTAGAGCAGGGCCTCATCATGAGATTATCAGTGCATAATAACATGTACTGCAGAGGTCAGCGCAGTGTCATTTGTCCTCCTCAGGCTTTGGTCAGCTGTTTGGAGCTGCTGGAAGATGAGAACGTGGACACCAGAGTCTGTGGATGCAAGGCCTTAGCTTGTCTCAAGGTACAAACATGTAGACTCTTTGTGTTTTTATCCCAAGCTGTTGAAATACAGTTTTAAGGCAACATCGATCTAATGGCTTAATAACAGTAAATTTAACGTCATAAAATCATGTCTGTTTGCAGCCTTTCTGTACTGTATGATAGAGTATTACCCTATCATACTGACCACTGTATTCCATCCTTTGTCATTCCAGGCCAAAGAAAGTATTGACCAGTTGGTGTATCTTTGTCGGACGGACAAAGATGAAGTCCGAGATGCTGCCAAACAAGCGCTGCTGGTGCTTGGTAATATTCATTATCATATTACTTAGAGTAACTGCTAAACAATAAATAATAAATAAAAATAATATGATCCATATTGAGAAATAATTTGCCTCGAAGCTACACTAGGTAACTTTTATTTTTCTAAAAATTGTTATATTTGCTGAAACTTGTCACTACATCCTGTCAGTAGTACATGAGACAGATGATCTGTGAAAAATCAGGTTGCTCTGGCTCCTTTAAGTGCTCCTAATTGTATTTGAAAGAATCTGTGCCTGAATGAAAACAACCAGTCAGAGCCAGGAGGTGTCTCTCATGCATGTTAGTCTCTATCCGTGTACATGCTGTGCTGACATCAACAGCACTAGGAGGAGCCAGAGGAGCCTGATTTTTTTTATTTATTTTTTAACAGATTATCTCTCTCATGTACTACTGTCAGGATATAGTGACAGTATATGCAAATATGACAAAAAGTTTCTTATATGCCTCCACGCCGATGATAGCCGTGGCCAAGGGTATTATTTTTCCGAGTTGTCCATCCGTCTTTACGTCCATTTGTCCCATTCTCATGAACACCATATCTCAATAACATCTTGAGGGATTTTCTTTAAATTTGGCAACATCCACTTGGACTCAAGATTGAACTGATAACAATTTGATGGTCAAATATCACTGTGACCTTGCATCCATCTTATTCTCATAAACGGGACATCTCAAGAACACCTTTTGGGGGTTTGTGCGGACGTGCAAGAGTCTGGTTAATAATTCCACTAACACAAACGAAATGAGCAGACGACAATGCTGCGAGCAAAACAAAGTGTAGTGTGCGCAAGCGTGAACCACTTGTTTTCATTTGGATGATGTGCTGCTGGATCAAAGACCATAGAGTGCTACACATAGGGCGGAGTTGCCAGGTCAGCTTATAAGCTGCGACTTTGGGCTTGTTTTTTTGTGAAGTCGCTTACAAATATTGGTAGTCGCGGGTTGGGGTTTTTTGGGCTTGTTTCTAAAGTGGAGTTGCTTATTTGGGCTTGCTCTCTAAACAGCGCCTTTCTCTATATCCGTCTAATGTGAAACAGAAATGTATACAAAAGTGTGTGCCAGATAATATAGAACAAATAAACACACACTAATACTGTATGACATTAACATAAAACAATGAATGAACATTACTTATCGCTTATTATTTAAAAAAAACAAAAAAAAAACAGCTCATAGAAAGACTGCATGCTCTTACTTTCACATGCGGAAATGACGTCATCAGCTGGGTGATCACGTGCTATACGAAAATGGCAAAGTGATACGAATGCATTTTCGTTCGGACCGGCAGAAAGTTTGTTTCAAAACTCTGTGTGTGTAAAAAGCAAATCCACACGCGTAGAACTGAGATCCACAAATATTTTTTCGATTCACAAATAAAAACTGAGTTCACAAATGCCTGTTCGAAAGTTGTAAATGTTAGGAAGATATTCACAAATGCTTTTCATTTATTTGCAAATTAATTTAATGTATTCACAGATATTTTTTGTATTTGTGGAATGTGTTTGTGTATTTGCAGATCCGTTTTATACTTGCAAAATATTTTTGTGAGTTTACAAATCTTTTTTTTTGTATTTGTGGAAGGTGTTTTATATTTACAGATTACACATTTACACACAGATTGTCGATCTGTTCACACACATAATTATGAAACAAATCTATCTCCATACAGTTATCGCTGATATTGGGATGGTGGCCCCCAGTTAACACTGTTACTGTAGCTCTGTCAGCATTATTGCTGTTGTTTAACACTGCTTATGGACTTAGCACCGTTAGCTGCTAGCTCAGCCACCTCCATGTTGAGAATGTCCAGACAACTCATACGCTTTAAATTTAGCATAGAGTCCCTTCAAATGACGTTGGTTGTGTTGATTCAAACTTTGATATGTCTTCATGAACCTGCATATAATGCACTTGCTGTTTCTTAATGTGATAACTTATACATTTCTCTTTTGCATTTTTCATCCATCCATTTTTTATTCCACTTATTTATAGATTTGTGACATAAGACAGTAATTAAGGCAGAAATAAGGAAATCTACATCTTGCTTGTTTTCTGCCATTTGACTTTGTCCAGTGCAAATGTCTGTGGAGAGGATGAATGCATTCATTCATTCATTCATTCATTCATTCATTCATTCATTTGTTTTCATTCCACTTTTTTTTGTGTTCTTCCATTAATTGTGTGGAGCAGGCGAAGAGGGGAAGATGGCCCACAGACATGTGGAGACGTCTCAGGACAGCATACCAAGACTCTTTGCTCCAGGAAGCATGGCCAGCACAGCTTTCTAACACCACACACACACACACACACACACACACAGGTGGGAGCAAAAAACAAAGTCAGCACAGCAACACAATATGAATGTTGTGTTTTGGCAGTGCTTTGACATGATGTCTTGGTGAGAATAGTTTTTTTCTTCTATCCAATGAGACTAGCAACAAATCTAATATATGGTATACAGTATATACACTGTCAGAGGGGCTGCAATAATACTCACAGCAACTTAACACTGGGCAAACACAACAACAAGCTGCAAACACACCAGTTTATGTTTATCAGCCAGTAAAGATGTAATGAAGAATCTTAGCGGACTTGAATGAAAGGATGGATAAAGGGAGGAGTAGAGGGAAGAAATGAGGGAAGATATGGAGAAGTTAAGAGGACTTGTCCTGAGTCATAATCAAGTCAAATCACTGGTCCAACTCCTTACTATCACAGTCAAGTCCTTCCATGGCCCAGACAGAAATACATTATTTTGAAGTGAGTTAGCAAAAGTCTAGAAAGCTATTTAAAGTCACTTTGTTAGATAATTAACATTTTCTTAGCCCAAGTGCCCAAAATGCTGAGTTTCATGTATTTTTTTATAAGTTTTATTACTTCACCTCTCTGTGGGTTTGACTGGTCACACGGTGAACAGTCGGCATAGAGTAAATATTCCATTCCACAGTATAACACTACCCCTAACATTACATAACACTGCTTTTTGCAATGGATACTGCTGTCTCTAGTTTTGGCGAAAATGAGTTTTTAAACAATCCTAGACGGACAGCTCGCTCTGTGAAGTGACATGCCTGCAAACTGAAAAAGATGTTTTCTCATACAAGTCTGCCTTTCCTAAGCCTTTGGCTCTACTTATGCTTGTTGGTTTTCATGTTTGCCAGATGGCTGTTATCTGAACCAAGGCTGCGGTCAACACTACACAAGTCCGAGCCCCAGTGGTTTTGTGACTGAGTCAAGGCCTGGTCCACCCAACAGTGCCCATAAATGTTGCATTTTTTGCTAACAGTGATTTGTGATTACTACTCTTAGAAATCAAATAGTTTTACAAAACAAAATATTCTTGCACAGAGTTACAAGCTATGAAAGGATGATGCCTGTCCACACATATATGCATAAGCCTACATGTTTGAAATGAGGATGCTTGGATGTTACATGGCTAAGTTAAGGTGATATTAAAGAGTTGAGTGTGTCTATGGGCGACTGGCAGCTGACCGACAGCAGAGCTACAGTCTGCTCTGAAGCAACAACAGTCAAAAGAACAAGTACAAGTCAAAAAGTGACAGAGGTAGTAATGCAAAGAATGAAAAAGGAGAGCTTGATAGAAATGGTCAAACACCACCTACTTTCATACTTCCAAACACCTGTCCAATCACTGCACGAGCTGGGTGTGATTGTCAGGTTGTCGGTTACACAAACATACAGAAACTATCGGAAGTAAACACTTTCAGTATTACTTTGATGCTTCAGCAGTCTGCCCTCTGGTACCACAGCAAAGACCACTTCTCATTGAAAATGAAATATAAAAAAATCAAAACAAACATGGAATAAACCTTGAAGATCTTTATTTTTGAGTGCAACGCTGTACTTGAGCCAAACTGCATGTATGTCTCATCAAAGTGCATCAGATTCTTAATTCAGAGGTTGTAGGTCACAGGCCTGTGTTGCCAAGGAGCCACACCCTGGGAAGCAAGGAAATTAGTAAGGTTTTTATTGGACTGTATAAGATGATATGATAGAAAGAGATATGTCACACATGTTCTTTTACATTCTTCCTGGATCTGTCAGTGGAGCTGGCGCCCTTTTTAGCCAATTGTATTATAAAGCCACATGTAATGGGTGAGCAAGTGTTGGTTAGGATGACATGTTGTGGCTGACGCTGGGACAGATACTGGAGATTCATCAGCTCAGTCACATCTGCAACACTGCCACTGCTGGCTTATTAACTGTGAAATGTCTTCGAGTTCAAAAGATAAGAAATGAAAGCTTTTTATTCTCTGTCTCACAGGCCTTTATGTTTCATGCTGTCAGTGTACTGGCAACAGATTGAAAAGAAAGAAAAGCATAGCTCTCACTGGAGTTTTATAGACCGGGTTGAGACTGCACAAAATGTGTTAATCTGCTTCTGCACCAAGAATGGTTTAAGCAATTCAGTGCCATTACTCTTTACAATAATGACATACCTTATTCTTTATGGAAATACATATAATATGACTATATGCCACTGGAATTCAATATTCTGTGATTGTAAATTGTTTTTATCTTAGCAGAGTCTTAATTTGTAAATGTATGCTTTGTTTTATAAGATGCATTTTTACTGTTTACAGTTTAATTTCAGTCATGTAACAAATTTGTTTAATGGATTGATTGACTTTCTGCGGCACTTAACTGTAACACTGACATATCTGCTGTAAATGGGGTGGCATTCTGTTTGGAGTCACTGAAGATTTGCATTACTGTCACACACTGCTGTGGAGGAATTTGTCTTTTGAGAAGGCAAAGACAGATTAATGAGTAAATTGGTCAATCCAGATCTGGGATCAGTTCACCTTAAATTCACATCAACAACAGATGAACCTCAAACTTAAAATTTCTGACTTTTAGGGTGCTTTCACACCTGTTGAGTTGAGTTAGTTTGGTCCACACCAGAGGGAAAAATTATTTATTGTTGCATTTTAGTTTTAGTTCGGTTCCTGTTCACACTGACTTTTTGCAAGTGAACAAAGAGGATATCATGAAGTTCTACCAACTGACAGGTAACTCATTGATTGGACAGGTTTGGCATTTGTCATCCTGCATCATCAGTGCATCATCAGGACCGACGTGGGGAAATCAAATTCTGGTGACTGACAGAAGTTTATGTAGCAGCACTTTAATGCTTTGAAAGTTTTATATTTATGTTCTTTGGTTTCACAAAGAGCTCTTAGAGATGTAAGTGATTGTAAGCATTATTAGGAGGCTATTATTAGACTGCAAATCAATGGCATGTTATGAATAATAACTAACGTAGAGACAGGATGAAAAGAAGGCGTCTTGTACAGTAATGACTCAGGGCTTAATACTGTTGAATCACTGTCACACTCTTTTTAATGGACCTAATGAACAGACAAAGTACACAGAGTCGGATACAATGATGGAAGATTTAACAGCTTTTTAGTCAGGGAAAATACCCTCACTGGTGTGCATATGTGTTACCATGGTTACATGTATGCATCAGCATAAATAGGTTATGGGATATACGTGGCCTTTATCAGGATCAGTTATGAGATCGCGGAGAGATTTCATGATCAGCAGATGGATTTATTATTGGTTTAGCTGTTGATAAAATCACATGAAATCCCATAGTTGGTTTGTTATCTTTCACACCACAAACATACAGCACTGTTGGAAGCAGACCGAGACCCGCTTTTTACAGCGGCCGTGGTTTGGTTGTTTGTTTGTTTGGCCGCACCAGGGTTCGATTGACAGCTTTCACACCAGCCCAAACAAACTGTACTAACTGCGCAGACCGACCTGAGTAGTTGTAACCAAACAGGTTAGGTGTGAAAGCACCCTTAGAAAGAATAAGAATTTACACTTGTCTCTGCTTTGTTAGTATTAGCATTCTAGAACATTTGAATAGGAATAATTAATACAGAACTGGACTGCATGTCAAGTAAACCAATCCCAGACACTGAATCATAAATTGTTAATGGGCCATACCACTGTTTTTGCATGTTTATGCCATTTACTACAAATAACATACTAAAAACTTTACAATGCTGGTGACCATTTTCCAAAGTCAGCCCAGTGCACTCACCAAAGAAAATTTTAATTTAAGACCTTATTTTGTAATTACTGACCACATAATTACAACATCTGTATTTCATTAATTTCACTCAGTATTTCATATTAACAACATGTATATCTTATCATAGGACTTAGTAACTCATAATTACAACAGCTGTTACTATCAGATGACAAACTCATAATTACAAGCTGATTCCCTCATACTTATGAAATAGGATCTCATTATTTTCACATATTTTCTCGCAATTATGAGATACAGATGTGGTAATTGTGAGATATTTAGTAATAGTTCAGGGGTAATGTTGTAATTTGCCTTTGGTGAATGCAGTTCATGTTTGTTCCAAAGCATGGCTTAGTGTCTCCGATTTTTGCATTGTGCTGAATTTTCCTGAAAGAAGCCAATTGTTTTCCATTTCTTTTAATACAGGATCATCACAGCTAGCATGTCTACAACAATGATATAACAACATTTAAACACAGAGCTGATGTTCACTGTGATGGATTATTAAAGTGTCAGTTCTTTGTAAGTGGATATTGCTACTGTACACATTGAATGAAGTACAACTCCATAAGCTTGGGAAGATTTTCAGCATGAGGTCAAGAATGCAGTTAGGTGTAGGTTAAAAAGAAGATGCAAAAACACTGGTATCATTCTTTAAATCGTGGCAATATTTCTAAAGAATTGACTAATAGTCCAGCAGGTTATCCACACTGAATTGGACCATTGTCAGTGAAAATGCCAAAATGTCTGAACCCAGTTGTTGTGACGACGGCTGTTTCTGTTTTTTGTAGTCTTGTCTCAGTAGTTTCATAGTGACACTGCTGACAGTGATGATGCCACACTGCCTTTTTCATTTTCTGAGCACCGTTACTGTGGCATCATCTCAGCCTGATGACTGATGATAGTATATGGAAAGTAAATAGATGGGTCCCAGTCTCATACTGTATACTAATACTATGATATAACCATGTTGTAATAATGTTGACAGTGCAATTTTCTAACAATGGAAAAAAAGGAAATTTATACTGACAGGAAATCAGACGTAATTCTTAACCATGCTAGCAACTTGAATGATGGCAGTGTTGGTCAGTTGGTCCACCACTTTGATCCAGACTGAAATATCTCAACAAATAACTGATGGATCCATGAAATTTGGTTCAGACATTCATGACTCACTGAGTTTGAATTGTAACAACTGTTTTTTTTTTCTCTAGTTCCATTATCATGTCAACATTTCTGTTTGTCCTGTTGGTTTTATGACCAGATCCCTGCAGAGCTAAAAACATTCCCATCAGTCTCAGCTGCACTGTGTTAATACTGATGGGCAAATGTTAGCATGCTAACAGGCTAGACTAAGATGGTGAACATGATAAACATTATGCTGAACATCAGCATGTTAGCACTTTCACTGAACATGTTAACATGCTGACAGTAGCATTTAGCTCGAAAAGCCACTGTGCTGAAGTCCAGCCTCACTGAGCTGCTAGCATGGCTGTCAACTCTTCTCTGTTGTCTGAACTGTCAAATCACTGTCCATAATAAAGTCTTCCAGGGGTGATGTTTTTCTGTAGGCCAGTGTGGAAGTTAGCATCACCCTGGTTCCCTTGTCAAAAAAGTCTGAGAATTATAAGATAATAAGCTCTATGACAAACAAACATTTATGATCCTTGCACATTTTGTTCAGCAAGTGAAAAGTGGTGTTCACAAATATTAAAATACTTTTATGATTTTTGAAGCATACATTCAGTCAAGCAAAATGCTAATGTTAGGCTATAAACAAACTACACCACAGTCGCATGACTTAATGTCGCCACCACAACAAGGCTGTAAAGTCATGTTTGGCATGATGACATTCTGTAGTCTCATTTAGTCATTTGTTAGTAACCGCCTTTCTTAAGAGATGTAAACGTCTCTTCAGCTTGTGTTAACCACAGACCTTATTTCAGGCATCTAACCAAAAACCCACTGACTTTCAGACGAGGGAACCGGGAGTGCTAACATGCTAATTCATTTCTGAGTTTCAGGATTAATTCCTGGGGTTCTCTATTGTTTCACTATTTGTGTAACAACGGTGTCCATCGATGCATAAAAATGTGCCAATTTTAGTCTGACTGTTGACGGTTTTAACTGTACCTCACTTTGTGATTGTTTTCCAACATGTGAACATTCCACAAAGTCGTTAGAATTAGTGTACAGTATGCAGATGGGACACAGCTTTTATCTACAGGGAGGAGGGCTCAGGTTTCTAATTTACAATGTGCCAACCCTGTTTATCTCCATAGACTGACTTAGATGTTCTTAGCAACACTGTGTCTTCAGAATCAAATCGGTATTAGCTGTGCTTTTAAAGATGTAAGCATCATTACAGAGGTTTCAGGCCATCGCTTAAAAAATAAATTTGAGTTATGAGGAAAAAGTAACTTCTAAAATTAAATGCAGAATCATGTCAATGTTAGAAATGGGATTAGAATAATCAGAATTTGAGTGAAAAAAAATTATTTAGAAATGATAAAATAATTATTTGTGAACTCATCTTAAAGGTTCAGTATGTCATTTTGGAGAAAGGTAGTTATTTGTTGAGTATCATTCCCAAATTGTCAAATACTGATGCTTTGGGTTGGCAGTTTGGTCCAACTACCAACCCAAGGTCATCTGCATTTGAGACTTGGGAGTGAGACTCAGCGAGCTTACTTTCTCCCACTGCAACACATTCTCATCCCAGCTCGTCGCTTTGTCAGTGAACCTACATGTCTAAATATGACATGCAAGGTACCCCTCTGCATCAGGTTTGGACTATCAGGGACGGCATGTGAATTTATGTCTGTTAAATGCGTTGTGACTTTTCAACTACATTTCCATTTTCACAGGAAATTTACAATTTCTGCTCGTAAGAGGCATAGCCTTTTCAAAATAAACTTACAACAAATGTCAAACACTACGTTTTTAGGTTTATTTTCGGAGGTTTAGCCAACAAACCTCCATGGTTATGTTTAGGCAAAAAAACTCTATGGTTAGGTTTTGGATGTGGACAAAAGGGTGTGGCTTAGTTTAGAAAAAAAATCATGGTAAAAGGTGCCTCTGATGCCGACATCACTGACAAATCAGCGATATTTGACGAGATGGGAGTGAGAACAGGCTGTTTCTTCAGAATGCTTCCTGAACCTTTAATCTCTGAATTTAGTATTCAGGGATTAATCTCAGAACAGATTTTTTTTCCACCAGCCCTAATCCTAATGCACCTTAAATGGATATTTACTGAAGGCAGTGATGACTTACTGATGCACTGTTGTGTCCCTGAGAAGAAATGACATCCAGATAGTTTCAGCTGTTAGAAGTGAGAGGGGATCAGATAACTAGCTAGCCGTTTATTATGTTCAGTTTGGATGTTTAGTTCTTAATACAGCATACAATAGCAATTGACTGCAGTGTCACTGGAATCATTATATAGGATTGATGTCGCGTGTGGGGGGTTGTCACTCACTGTTTGTATTGTTTATGTATATTATGGCTTCCACTGTGTTCAATGTCTTTACCACTATTAGTTTCTAAAAGACTGCAGCGATCTGCATCTATACCTCTGCATCTATAAAGCATCTCACAGTGTTTAAGTGCCTCAAGGTTTGATAGTAACAGAGATGCAATAAGACATAGATGAGATACTTTATTTAAGAATGAAGAGAGTGTGAAGCAGTGGAAAACCACTGCAGCATGCTGTATATGTATATTTTTTCCCTCCATAATCTTGATCAGTTGTGCAGCATTGGAAACAAAATATTTTATTCTTTTTTTTCTTTTCTAAAATATATTTCCAGGAATTCTGGTGTCAAATATATACAAACTATTAAAAATGTGTTTAAAGATGATCTCATGTGCCATTGTGTTGTTTATTAATTATTCAGTGAGTGACTCACGCACATACAACATAAAAATTCTGGCTCTGACTGAGACCCGTCACAATAAAAGAAACATAATCAAATCTGAACTTAAAATTGTGATATTTCATTAAAATCACTTTAATATACATTTATCATATAAAATGGCCAAAAAAGAACTGTTTGCACAAACTAACCAGCATGCATGATGAGTGAAAAACCAAGGGTTTTTTCAACTCCAGGATTTCATCAAAGGGTGAGTTTTAAAAATCTAACAACTTATTTATGGAGGGAGAGTCAAACATTTTCTGGAAGTCACTCAGGGAAGCTCAAGGAAATATTTCTGTAGCTGCAGCAAGGTCCAAAAAAGCTAGCTAGAAAACCACAAAAACGTCCACAGGCTGAAATCAATGCAAAAATAGTCTATTTATTTTATTTATTGATTGATTTATTTGTGCACAGAAAAAAGTGCTCAAAGTACAGAAATGGTATAGAGTGAAAAACAGCAGCAAACGTTTTAGTCCCTAAGTATCATCAGTGCTGTTAAACAGATTCAACCATATTATTTAAAATAATGAATTCGATTTATTTTATTTGAAATTAACATAATTTCTTATAATGTTTTTACTTGTCATGCTTACTTTCATCATAGAATTTGACATCTCAAGTTACCTTCTCTAAATACAGTACAGGCCAAAAGTTTGGACACACCTTCTCATTCAATGCGTTTTCTTTATTTTCATGACTATTTACATTGTAGATTCTCTCTGAAGGCATCAAAACTATGAATGAACACATGTGGAGTTATGTACTTAACAAAAAAAGGTGAAATAACTGAAAACATGTTTTATATTCTAGTTTCTTCAAAATAGCCACCCTTTGCTCTGATTACTGCTTTGCACACTCTTGGCATTCTCTCCATGAGCTTCAAGAGGTAGTCACCTGAAATGGTTTCCACTTCACAGGTGTGCCTTATCAGGGTTAATTAGTGGAATTTCTTGCTTTATCAATGGGGTTGGGACCATCAGTTGTGTTGTGCAGAAGTCAGGTTAATACACAGCCGACAGCCCTATTGGACAACTGTTAAAATTCATATTATGGCAAGAACCAATCAGCTAACTAAAGAAAAACCAGTGGCCATCATTACTTTAAGAAATGAAGGTCAGTCAGTCCGGAAAATTGCAAAAACTTTAAATGTGTCCCCAAGTGGAGTCGCAAAAACCATCAAGCGCTACAACGAAACTGGCACACATGAGGACCGACCCAGGAAAGGAAGACCAAGAGTCACCTCTGCTTCTGAGGATAAGTTCATCCGAGTCACCAGCCTCAGAAATCGCAAGTTAACAGCAGCTCAGATCAGAGACAGATGAATGCCACACAGAGTTCTAGCAGCAGACCCATCTCTAGAACTACTGTTAAGAGGAGACTGCGCCAATCAGGCCTTCATGGTCAAATAGCTGCTAGGAAACCACTGCTAAGGAGAGGCAACAAGCAGAAGAGATTTGTTTGGGCCAAGAAACACAAGGAATGGACATTAGACCAGTGGAAATCTGTGCTTTGGTCTGATGAGTCCAAATTTGAGATCTTTGGTTCCAACCGCCGTGTCTTTGTGAGACGCAGAAAAGGTGAACGGATGGATTCCACATGCCTGGTTCCCAC